ATTCGATCAATGTAGTACGCGTACACGCCAAGCCAGCATGTCTCTCATACTAGACTTGTTGAAGAAACGTTACTTTGTGTACGAACTTATCAACGAATCTATCGTGCACACGGCCTGTATTTGTTCTCTAATTCGCTGTAAACACCGGGAGCCTGAACGCAGGCATGTCGGATGTGGACCTGGTGGTCCAAAATCTCGATTTCACAGAGATAATTAGTGCTTACTACATGGTGTCGGACACGTTCCCTCGGCAACATCGCCGGCGGCCATCTTGTTTCATACGACATTCACGACGAAATACATATGGGATATTCTTGACGACTCAACATGGCGGGTTGGAGTTGTTGGTCATGGTTGTATGGCAATCGGACAGGGGCTGGCACGGGTAAGGCACGAGGCGGGATAAAATACCAGTCATGCCAGCTATGGACATGTCCTTGATTAAAGTTAGCGGCTGTCAACAGAGCAGTGGGGCAGGAGACTGTAGGGTGGAAGGCTATTGACATTCACATGTCGTATACCGACACTACTTCGTTTCAAAAACGTGTGGACACAACCTAAACAATGATAATATTGAATGATAATCTTGAATCAGGGTAAATCCTACTAGTGGACATTTAAACTGCTAATCAAAAGCAAAACATAATGACGCTGAGGGCTAAAATGTTACAACTACTGCAGACATACATATCCCCTTTGTTCGCTGCAGGTACTGGTTTAAAAATGGATCAGAGAGGTTTGCAACTGTCTGATCTGGAGAATGTTATGACTTGTTTAAAACCATATGAATTGTAAGCGTAAGTCAAGCATTGTCCAACTGTTGTACCACTTTATGCCCGAAAATCCTGTACTTGATTTGATGTAGTAATGTTTTACATGTTGTTCTAAATTTGTACGAAAGGTGTAAAAGATGTCCATGTCAGAACGCGTGTGTTGTCCCATAAAATGTCTACACGAAAGACACCATAATAAGGAGCCTGTCAGATGTTTTTCTAACTTTGTTTTTAGCTTGAATCAAAGCTAAGGTTTGTTAAGCAATCAAACTTGTTGGTTATGATTTATGATAGTCGGTAACTTCGTGACTGTAGTAGAAGAATGTGGCCCCAAAGGCATCTGTGAGACCAAATATTAGTTGTTGTGCACTATTGGATGATATCATCATGGTGAAGATACTACTCACAACATATACCCAAAATATTCAAAATCTTCTGCAGCAAATTCTGGATTTCTGCGAATAACCAGATTCATCTTTCGTGACTCCTTAAAAAAAGAACAATAGAAGTTGGTTCGTTTGTTAGTGTACGCGAAAAAATACATTAACAAGACACCTACTGATACTATACATCATTGCCAGTGTTCTTGTGAAAGACGAAATGTTTTGTTGCTTTAGGGGACGGACTTAACGTAAACTAATCTGGTCCTGGCCAACTTCTGTAGAAAACAACATCGTAACGCTAAACCGCCGCTGCTGTTTAACAAAGCTGTTCACTCTTTTCAGGTATCAGTAGTGTGAGATATCAGTCAGCGACCTCCACATCCATAACTGTCGTCTGCGAGGGGTGTCCATAGCGACGTGAGCTAACGCAAGGTAGGCAAGGTGTTTCATGTTGATCACCACTGTTGGAATATAGTTTTCCTACGGCACTTTCACATTTATCGTTGGTTGTCGTGCGATTTTTGTGCCGGAGGATTTTAAATCTGGTTATGACAGAACCAAACACCGACAAGGATCTAAGCTGTAACCAGACCGCATTTACGACACACGCACGACAATCTCAAGAAAGCCCCCAGTTTGCAATCGTATGTCGACCCCACGGCGTTTGTGATAACATCTTCTGTGGTAAATTCCAACCGAAAGTATGGGATAGTATAACTTTAAGCCCGAAATTAAAGTTCTGTACAATTGTACTAGATTTGTATGATAAGTGTAAAAGTACGTCCATGTCAGAACGCGTGTGTTGTCCCTAGAATGTCTACACGAAAGGCAACATAATAAGTAGCCTGTCAGATGTTAGATTGCTAAATAATAACCGAATGGATAGGAAAAGCTACCATATTGCCACAAGGAGGAATCATTACACTTAATAAGCCCCTGTCACACATTCAGATTTAGGCCAACCTTTCTCTCGGATCTAATTTGAGTTGAATTTGAGTCAAATTCTATTGCCAATCACGCCCCAACCTACTTCCGAACACCAAACAACCACCAGCCTCCCATCAACACCCGAACGTTTCAACATTTTGAGACCTGACCGAACTCCAACCAACCTTGCTGCCAACCTACTTCTAACCATGGTTGGGGGAGTTCGGCTGGTATTCGGTAGGCCACATTCGACTATGTATGACATGGGCTTAACTCCTGGATCAGGATTTGAATTCAGATCAGCCCCACATTTTAGTTGAATCGATAACTTTTTCTTTCAAAACCTATCCACTAATGGCAAGATCACGAAAATTCGTTCATAATTGTTGAATTAGTATACTTCATGGCACTAACTAATCAACATCAAAGATGTAGATTCGTATATAAAATGTTGAGTTAGTGCGAACGTAATGCACTTGGCACGTTACGGCAAACGTGGATGTGAGAAAGTAGGTTGATACGTTTTTCTGAAGAAAGTTTGAGGTTCGCGTTGGTCCTGTTTCCCATTTTACGTTAAGACATCTAGGTAGAACTAACTTCAGCACAAATGTAACGTTCTACTATATAGTTCAGCAATTTTTGTTACTGATAAACTTTGAATACTATTAGTTCAACCATGCCCTTCATTCTGAGTGGCTTTTTTAGCATAGCTTGCATTAGAATGTGAGTGACATTGTAAGAGAACACTAAAAGGGAAAGTACATGACCTTTTGCCGGCTTAACATCTTTAACATCACTTTCAAAGTGAAGTGCCCACATAACGACATTTCCTCGCGCCTTTGGGAAGTAGACCTTTGGCGACACACGTCACTTAGTGACAGATTATACTGTAGCGAGGGAACAACACCCATAATTACTGACTGGCGACATACCGTGACCTTCTTCACAATGGGAGGTTACCCCTCTTAAAACTTCGGAATGAGGGAACGACACGGACTGTGACTTCTTTCAGGTGCAACCATCAGATCTTAAGATATTTGTCTAGATAAGCAGTGAGTGAGCGGTGCCTTATGGCACGTATTATAGCATAGCAGAAGAGTGGCGGGTTACGTAAACTAACAACTAGAGTTACCGCGCCTTCAAAGGCCTCCATTCTATTCTTGGCAGGTAAAAAAGCAAGACAGCTTCCCGTCAATTCTCCGCAAACAATAAAGAAAACAAACCCATTGTGTGCGAAGTCTGCAGGTTTTCTTTTGAATGAGAAGTTGTGCGTCGACCATGAGACTTGTCTCGGATTCTAGTTGTTGATGGTCTAACGCGAAACGCTGGCGGGGGAAGTTTACTACATTATGTATCTTACTACTGTCAAGTTCTAAAGCGATGCATTATTTGGATCGGCCATTTCTTTGAGCAAGCCCCTACAAAATCATTATCTGACAAATGTTCTTTTGTTAGTTTTTTTCTAAATCATTGGTATATAAGCATCACTGTGTCCTCATCAATACAGAGAAGGTTATTCATCAAAGTAGATGTATGTTTTTAAACTAACGAGCTTGACGTTGTATTAAAACTCCGAAAATTTTGTATATAGTTGAAAGGTTAGCAAAGACAAGCTGAAGATTTGACTTCTATATGAGTCCCTACACTTTTGTTTTATGCCCAGTTCGGAGCAGGATAACTCAGTCAGTGTGGTCATAACTCAGAAGGAATGTCAGGAATCCATGACAAAATAGCCGGACCAGCAGGTCAAGTATGATGTACGTTAGCACCGTCACCACTCCAACATCCCATCTCGTGTGCCCTCTCCATTCACTGTTAACCTTGAAACATGACCCCAGGTTCACCTTCGCTCTAATCCAGTTTCCATGTTCGCGGCGCCATGTTTGTTTGACAGTCGCCTGTCTGGCTCGTGCCGATGACCAGTCGCCATTGTTCGGTAAAAGCCGTCGGCATTGTTCGGTAAAACTTGCTGTCATGTCGGCATGAACGAACTATGCGTAATTCAGTAACAGTCTACCCGATACCTGTATTGACATTGGTAAAGAGACGCCTTCCCTGGCGTTACTGTATACAAAATAAAGATTATCAGTAGAAATAAAACCCCACAAGTACAGGGAGGAAACCGCAGGGTGACTTAAAAACTAGAACATGAACTCGAACTTGACAAGTATACAATCAAAACGCTGCGACAATTTCAGTACTTACATGTAGTACTATTGGCAGATCAAAATATGGACACCAAAAAAATTAGCAGTCAAACATGTGAGGGTTTGATAGTTAATCATAGAGACCTCAGGAGCTCTCGTTTATAATCCAACACAAAGAAAAGTATGAAAACTAGCCCGCATCCTTAGCAAAATAAACGAAGATTCATCCATCCGTTTGGACAGACACACTACAAACAATACCTGACCTATCATAACTTTTTAGGGAAGAAGAATTTTGAAGCGTAGGGTGAGGATATATGACTCATAGAGCCTCAGGAAAGAATTATTTCTTTTCAACACTCTTAAAAACAGATCATGTTCAGTAAGTGCCCCGGAAAGAGTTAAGTACAGTTTCCACTGGCAGACCACAGTGCATTAGTTACGTCCTGACTATGTCGGCGCCATGAATGGCACACCTTCACGATCGGAAGATGTTCCATGGACCGTGGATAACAACAACATTTTAACGTGCCCACGGCCGCTTTCCCGCACGCGAACTGATAATAAGGAAAAGGAAATCTCCCCTTAAACACCCATTAACCAGGGAGTGGCACGCTTACTTCAAAGGACGAACACATAGTCAGGTGGAGGTGTTTACTCTTCAGACATAGAACCGACACCGCAGAAATAACTTCGTTTGCGTGCCTTCTACTGCCGACAGGTGCTCTAAAGTTGGACCTTTTTTGTAATTTTGTTTGGTCTGCAAGGCCAGTTTTTACAGGAAGTTGTGTTTTGTTGACTTGTTATGTCTACGTTTTGTAAGAATATCAAAGAAAATTCAAGCGTTTTAGACAGGTGTGATGAACATCGTGCCTCTGCAGGGACGCGGTCCAAAATCTAGGTGGCGCTTGAAATCCACTCCCTACGAAAGTCCTCTATGTCAAGCCTCTCCTTGTATGTTATTTTTCCCTGTAACAGGTACCCGTGTAGTTTATATACATTGATCCGTGCCCCGGTCCTTTTCAAGGATCCCAGGTGAATGAGCTGTTTTTCTAAGCAAGCTTTTATGGGGTTGCCTTGCAGAGGTTAGGGTAGATAGGCTTACAAGATACAGTTACACTATGGCGCAGGCCCAAAAGGACTCCCCTTTTTTCTGCCCTCCATTCAAGAAATATTATTTATTCTGATCGTCCCATTGCAAATTGTGAAGTATGGGAGCTGGCCGCTAGCCTCTAGATACTGATTACCAGGATCTGATATAATCAATGCTATAAAAGTCATAATTTTAAGCTCTTGTTTATCTGGAATAAGTTCATTCCTTTTCAAATGATTTTCGGCAAATTGTTGCGAAAAAAGAAGAGGTGGCCAAGAACTAGTGAGCGCAACAATTGTTGATTCGTATGTTTGAATCTTACTTCCATGCTCATGGTCTTACAAGAAAAATATGTTTAGGAATGTTCCATTGTTGTTTAGACAGGGGGAGGGCAGGGTGCATGTCTCAGGTGACAGTGTTGTGTTCGTTGCGCGTGCGCGGGGTGACGTGTGTGGATGTCCGGTGGGTGGCGTGCGCGTCACGCCGTTCTGTATACATGAAGAGCCTGTCCGGGCGGGCAGGACATGGCCACTGGTCTGACGTGACACGTCCCTCGCTACTTCAAACTTAGTTTTAATCACAAGCCTACCTCTTCATTTCTCTCCATGGCAGGGACAAGAGGGGACGTGTCTGTCTGGGTGACGAGGGCCAAGGAACAACTGCGGGAGGAGTCCCAGTACCCGGGGCCTCTCCTGGACTGCCGCCCGCCGCCTTACTCGGCTCCAGGTACGACTCGGCTCGGCAGGATGGCTGGTCTGGTCCGAACAAGGGTCCAGTCTCCCCGCCGGAACTCCGTCACGCCTGTAGAAGGAGATGACATCCAGCTCCAAGACATCCGAGTCAAGAACGGGACGGAGAGTAGACTTTCCTGTGGCAATCAGCCTCCGAGCTCCGAGGACGAAGGGTTCAGCTCCCGGTCGGGCGGAACCCCAGACAGAACCCCGGGCAGGTCCCGGTTAGACTCACGACGAGGCATCCCGAATCGAGCATTCGAAATGGACGCCAACATACAACAAGGGAGGGGGAAAGACGGCGACGTTACCTTCGATTTGGAGGCGAATAGGCCTAACACAACAAGTACTTTTCAATCTAACCTTGGGGATAACAAGCGCAGGACGCACGGCAATGTTGGAGAAGACATAGGGAGCACTAGTGACTTAAGCTGTGACAGTGATCAGGAGGAGGCGGAGGATTCTGAGGTTCACACGGATGACATCCACGGTGCTCTGGTTCAAACCGCACCGGACCAGGTCTGGTGGCGGAAAGTCTTTCGGAGAACGTTCAGTCCTGAACCTGCAGGACTCATGCTGTTCTGGATGGTAGTTGTGACTCTTGCTGTTCTCTACAACTCGTGGACTATACCTGTTCGGGGAAGCTTTGCAGATCTACAGAATAACTACTCTGGAGCCTGGTTCTTCCTCGACTACCTCTGCGACATCATCTACATTATCGATATATACATCTGTTTTAGAACATGGTTTCTAAAGGACGGCGCACCAGTTACTGATGCAGCGGCAATCACCAAACGTTACAAGAGGTCTCCGTTTCTTTTCGTAGACATCGGCTCTATTCTACCCTTGGACCTTCTGTACCCTGCGACAGGAGTCAACCCTTTCCTCAGGATCGGGCGCGTGTTACGTCTCTACAGACTGTACGGCTTCACACAGAGAGTGGAGCTGCGAATCCGCTGGCCTAACGTGTGGCGAATGGCCCTTACCATCCACAACCTGATGTTAGTACTACACTACAACGCCTGTCTGTACTACCTAGTTTCACTGGGTGAGGGACTGGGACAGACCAGCGGGAGTTGGTCGTTCCTGGACCCGGTCCTGTTCCCGGACTACTCGGCCCTGTCCAGGAAGTACGTCCACTGTCTCTACAGATCCACCGCGAGTCTTACACTGGTCGGCGGGCTGCCTCATCCCGAGACCAACGGACAGTGAGTGTTGCCTGGATTTTTTTCTTCTCATTTCCTTGTTTGTCATTCCTACATCCCTTTCTTTTCCTGGAGTCGTTACGTTAAATTAGAAATATAAGGCATATTGTGGAAGAGGGCGTTACAAGACAAATCGCACTAGTTAATCTTTTGGAAGTTTTCTTCAAGTTGGCAACGTTCTTTTCCATGAGAGGCTGTGACCGCTGAGCGACCAAATATTTGACATCTCACTAAACTTTCCGGACAAAGAACGATATTTGATGTTTTGTGTGTTTTGTTGCTGTTTAAATCATGCCTCTGTATCGTCCATCCAAGGACGTTATCCTTGGTCCATCATATTCCAATTATAAAACCGAGGGTCACACAAATCCAATTTTGGTCGCTCAACGATCACCGTCTACAGTGGCAAGAGGGCGTAAAGAACCAACTCTTAGTTCTGGAGAGACGTTGAGTCATTATGACGCACTACGTAATGTGAAGAAATCAACGATAGAGGCTGACAGACTCTGCAAGCAGATCTGCTCATTAACCCACGAACGACTGAGATGACAAAAAGACAACTAACAACATCAATGGGTGACAAAAACAAGTGAAACAAGATTTACGTATCGACCGCTTGGTTCACGAATGAACAAGTACAGCCACGTTTCTCACGAAGCCATGTTCCTCCCAACCGGACTCTTCCTGTTTTTACTGAACCACGTAAAACTATTGTATATAATGTCCATAGTACATTATGAAACAATGGTCATAGCAAACGCATATGTACTCGTACCAAACAGAAGCAGGTTACATCACGAAAATAGCAAAACTTGGAGAACAGATGTGCTGTCAATACATGAAATCTTCCCTTCTAACACCCTTGCATGCCTTAAAGTTCCGTTTTTTGGGACTCGTTTGGTTTCTTAATGCAATATTTAGGGGTATTCAAATGTTACATTTATACCATCTATATGTCGGTCTGTAAAGTGTGGCTCATTTTAATTTTTCAGACTCCGTCAAATTGGCTTAAATCCTGATATTTTGATATTTACGCCCCGGGAGTGGCAGACCTGAGATGGTAGCGCGGGAGTTTAGGTAGTTCCGGTCAACAGCCGTGTTTATCTGTGTTTACCTGCCGACTCTCTCTTCACTCCTCAAGAGCAACGCTAGCAAGATGGATGTCTGATGCTTATCTCTGAGTCAGTCTCTCACAACAAAAACAAAAACACGACCACTGACTTTGGGTCTTGTTTCCAGCATGAAGCAGGTTAGCTAAACAAATACCTCTGTTCTTTTATAAAGTCTGCTTGTAAGCAAAAAGGCCGAAGTAAAGAAACCTCTGTTATCGGGCTAGTTCGTCAACGAAACCGTGGAAATACATCGGTTCTCTTACGCAGTGAATACTGTCCCTTTTATACTTTCTAACAAGTCAGCACCTTGTTGTTGTAAACAAGTGGCACTGATCTCTAAAATTAGCTGTTTAGTCCACCAAAACGGTCAATGATCCGTGGCAAGTGTGAGGACGGCTGATAAAGTCATTGTATTGTGGCATTTTGAGCCACAATCAGGCGACCTCCTACGCGAAACGCGAAACTTTTGGAGCGTCAACAGCAATTCAACAAGAGCTGACGCTGTGCCTGGGCTTTGGTGCCTCGCAGCTTTGTTAAACTAGGTCCTAAAGAATCCCTCAGAAGCAGCCACAATGCGCCCCACGTACACACGGCAGTATATGTTTACGGAGTCGGCCCCAAAGGTCCTCCAGGTTTGAACCCTCGTCAATTGGATGTAGAAACCGACCCTGGCACCTTTGAATGACAGCTGACACCTTGACCCTCAACCTTTCCGCACTTTTTGTTCCCGATAGAAAACGGAGTTCGTTGCCCCTAAACAGTTGTTTGGTGCATGTAGGAACAATTGGTAGTTTTGACTGTTGGAATGCGCAAACATCGGCGTCTTCATCTGTCATTTTCCGCGCCTCGCTGGGCGGCAGCAGCGCCGCACCTGCACCTCAAACATACTACAGGCCATGTTCAGGAAGTTGTTATATGAAATATCAATGTTAAGACTTTGTTTTCTTTGAGATACGATTACATAAGCTGATTTCTCGGATTGTGTAGCGGCCCGGGTATTATAAACGTCACCGGAGAAACTACAGATTGTGATTGGTCGTAAGGTGACTAGAGTAACAAAGAAAGAGTCTATTGAGGGGGAGATTAGCTTCACAACACACAAACTATGTTGAGTAGACGTCACTCTGGACCGTCCGATAACTTTACATACTAACGGTCTACACTACGGATCTTTTTCGGACCAAACAACTACTGTTAACGTTCTAAAAGCTTTGGAGTTATCAAAATCTTAGTTCATAAAGGGTAATGGCATTGACAGTGCTGACAGTAGAGCAGACATTTTAGATTCAGCTGAAACGAACACCCTTATGTCGACACAATAACCTATTGCGCGCTGCCCCAGAGAAACAAAAACACCGCCGTCGTGTGCCTTGCACCAAGGCCTTTCAACCTGTGACCCATCTGCACAGACTAGGGCAGCACCAGGGGCTGAATACCACCAGAACTATCTCAAAAATACTGGTGACTTTCCTGTAGTTTATATACTTTACAGATATTACAGTGGATAAAAGCTACACCTGTTATCTTTACAAGTCCACGGCATAGTTGACGGGAAGTCCCTGTACCGTCATGACCAGGACGGGTGAAGTTTAAGAAAACAGAAGGAAAGACCCAGTTGGACAGAAATAGAAATAGCTCCTGTCAGGAAAGAATAACAAGGACGTGACGGGTAAACTATAGTGGCGGAGAATTCAATACTTCCGACCTGAAAGGTGACAGAACACCCTGGGATAGTGATCATCCTGGACCAACTGTCTAAAACTGTACTAGACACGCGTACGGTCAGAATGTAGTCAAACTTGCAGTGTGTTAGCGAAGTCTGTTGCGTGCCTTTTGAGTTCAAATCGAATTTGCTAAAGCACGCCCAGTAGTGTAAACCAGGCTATCAACGACATCCTCAAAAAACACGATAACCTAATGAAATTTCCTGTTATGAGTTCGCATTTAGGACTACCAAATTGCCCAGTTTCATTGCTAGTGTAACAATGAATTCAAATATTGGCCTTGTTATATTCAGAATAGGTGCCTACGTAAAAAAAATACACCTCTACGTCAAACTGTTTCACACACCAATAAGCCACTGAATAAGCCCTTTCCAAACATCCTGTCTGGTGAGTGATGACCGTTGATGTTTGGAGGAGTTACAGAGAAATCGGATCTATAACATTGAACAGAATGATCTACCTGGTCACATGCACGTGCGTGCAGGGACGGTGTTACTGCCATCAGGACCAACGGTCACTGTCATCATCCGCTTACAAACATGTCCATCTTCTACACACCTGTCTGTACCTGAACCCGAAGTAGCCTAAACAGTTTGTGAAGGTATTTCAACTTGTGTTAGGTGTTTCCATACCGACAAAGGCAATGTCGGAGATGATACTTATGTTACTGTTGGCCTAACTGTTGGTCCAGTTGATCTGACCTAAAGCGCCGAGACTTGGTGAGAATCTTTTTTGACAACTGAGTAACATTGTTGAAAAGGAAGGACCGACCACAGCAGGTATTCTATGCTTGTAGCATCAGAAGAAAAACGAGGCCATCCGCCCACGACGAGTTTGTTTGACTTAGTTTCAGCTCGCAGGTGGCCCGCTGCCTTATCTCGCCACACCATCGCGTGGCGTCTTTTCTACCCGTACAAAGGAGATCTCACACCGCAGTCCGAGCGGAAAGTCTGCCCAGATCTCCTGCAACACGACACGAAGATGTGCGCACGATCCCCGCCATTTTCCACATGACTTCCCGCAGACCTCAAAACATCCAGCAAGTTTGAAAGGCTTTCTGTGGCGATGGCGTCATCAGAGGAACGAAAATAACACAGGCGATGCGATGGAATGTGCATGCGATATGTGGAAACCCAAAAGGCAAAAGAGTGAGAGAACGATATCGAAATTGTACCTTAATGTATATCATAATATGGCAACACTGAAGATAGTGTTGAAAGGTCTCTTGTTGACTACACCAAAGAACAGATAAAAAGGTGATCAGATTGGGAGATTCGTTGATGAAACATTACCTTCATATTATCATGATCCTGTCAAGCATGATGTAAACATTTTAGTGGACACAAAAAGAATAGAAAGATGTACAGAACAATGATGCTACCAAACAAATTTTATCACCATGCACCTTTCCTATGTTGACCTATTTTGGAGTGTAAAGTGTAATCTTGACACAGATATTCACAGACAGGTATTGAGCGCTATCACACGTCACTAGGCCATTCCTTCCTCAACTCAATGCAAAGAGAAGATGATAAAGTAGTCTGAAGAACAAGTTTGTTACCATTATTTGCTACCAATACCTATCAATGTTCTTGAAAAACGGGACTCAACATACAATGTATCAGAAAAGTCTAGAAAAAACGTTAATGACTCTTGCTATGTCATATTGTTTTCTCCTTCATGTAGTCTTGAGTAACCCTATAAACTTCCTTGACCTCGGCCTTTGTTCGGCCACGTCCATAGGTGAATGGTTGGCATGGTAACCGTACCTGACGCATGCGCGTAAGATGTTGGGCTGGTTCTACATACAACCACCGGATGTTATCCAACACGACTTGTTTATCTTACTGCCTGGTGAATGGAGCTGTAGGGAGTACAGTTACAACACGACGTGCTACAACACTCATTCATTCTCCTTCCGCCACGTTTTACTTCGCACATTTGTGGACAGAAGATTTGGAAATGAAGAAAAAAAAATAACTGAAAAGATAACCTAGATAAGTCATCCTGGCATTTCACGGAATTGCTTATTAAATGCACCCTTCAGCTACGAAATTGAATTTAAAGGGCCAGATTTGTAATTAAGTAGAAAAACAGCTAAAGAAAATAACCCTGGCTGCCTCAATGCATTTTTGTTTGTTTGTGTGTGTTCCTTGACAAATTATTCTATGTGAGAGTTTAAACGATGGCTAATGTTATGTATTACTTTTATGTTTTGCTCCAGATATATCTACGCGGTTTTGCAGTGCATTCTGGGCCTGTTCCTAGTCGCCTATGTTATAGGTAAGTCCTAAACATAATTTCCACTTCTTCCTTATAAAGAACAGCATGCAGCAGCTGTAGCAGGCTCTTCCGCTCACGGTCTGTAATGAAGATGGCGATTTATCCTGACCACGCCCTTAAACACACCCACTGTTACTTGACGGAGAATAAGGCTCCTTGAGGTTCAATGGTCATCCGGTGCAGACCGTGACGACATAAGACAGGTAGACTGGCGATTCCTTACGCCACTGATAGTAATAACAACAAAGTTGGGTGTTGTTATTTCCGACAGGGTGTTGAAAGGGTGATCAATGATGCGGATATCAGACTCCAACTTGATCCGGTCTTTATAAACCTCACAAGTCCCGGCGGCTGCCCTTTTAAACGTTAGGTGACAAGAAGTCAATTAAGGCTTTGTTCTAGCTGAGAGGGGCTGCGTGTAACGGCCTTGTCCTTTTCAGGACAGTGAGTCAGGAAACCTTCATGTGAGCCTAGTTCAGAGCGTGGTCTTTGTTAGTAACGCCCCATGTCTTGTCTAGAACAATGTTCTCGGCCTCTCAGATGAAGGCTTCTAAATGTGTCGTGTCTTGGCCAGTCTAGACGGTTTAGTCTCTTTCTAAGGCGGTGATCTTGAACCTTAACAGCACGGTTCAGATTCACTTGTAAACAAACGCCAATCGGTCGGATTGAGTTCAATGTATATAAAAACAATAAAAACTTAAACTGGCGCCCGCATGAACAAAGGGCAGACATTCCCCCCAAGTGATGGATACAGAATCACCAGTTGATTTTCATAGCTCATATACAGGGAAACAGGAGGATGTGTGGTTCACTGAGAGGCTATACTGTGGCTCCGGTAACAAAACAAAACGTCTCGCGGCGCCTAATTGAACGCATAGGGAAGTGTATTGTTTCCCTAAGTACATACACGTGGAGGTCAGTGTCAGGATAATGCGTACGGTAATGGGTGATGGTGGACCACCGGGTGAGACCAGCGGCCAGCGAACGGTCAAAACCGACAGGACATCAATCCTGGGACAGGAACGCAAACTCAGGTTATACAAAACCTAGCGGAAAACTGAATCACCAACATGAGCAATGGGTGATGAACAGATCATGTCTGATCATGTGACTTTTATCCCCTACAGGCCAAGTGGGCTGTCTGATGTTCCACAGGAAGCTCCAAAGATTTGAGTTTGAGAAACTGGTGGTAAGTTAAGAGTTACTCTTGGATTAGACCACCGTCACTTTGATTTTGAAATATCATTTCTTGAATAACTAGTAGCTTGACAACACACTTACTAACTTGTACTCGGGGTCTCCTCAGGTGACTGAGTGGCCTGTGCTGTGCCAGTGTTCCTCCCTCTCTCGCCCCAGCGTCATGCGCTAGTCCTGGCGATCTTGGGCCAGTCCCTTCAGTTCTTCTTGGGTTCATTCTTGGGTTTATCGTCTTGTCAACATGCCGTTTGGCTAGTCTAACTTAGATCTCACAGCCATAATATTCATGCGTTTTGATTTCGTGAGAATGTGAAAAATATCTCCTATTTCTTCATTCACAGCAAAACTCCCGGCAATTGATGCAACAAAACGACGTGGCGAAGGAAACGCAGGAGAAAGTACAGCGTTTCTATGACTACTCCTGGGCAAAGTAAGTCTTGGCTGTCGTACAATATAAGCCATATTCAAGAATAGTTTGGCAAAACCCTTATGGTAATGGACGGAACAGAGACATCGGAAACTGTTATTATTTGTAATATCTTGTATATTTTGGGCCTGTGTACATTTTACCTGCTAGAAACAAGTATGAAATCGGAATTAAAACATGTAATCTTATCTGTGCAATACTATCTGTAGCGCTCAAGTCAACTTCATCGACGAGGCGATGTGTTTGAAGCAGATCCCGGAGCCGCTGCGGCGTCAGGTCACCCTGTCCCCGGCAGTGGACAAACTCAAACAGGTCAGTCTGTCTACACTTGCCCATTACAGGGTTTCATTATTAACGGGAAACTGTTCAATTCTTCAATTCAAATTGCGTAGCAATGGAGGCAAGAAATAAAACGCTGTAGGTCAGATAACAAGGTGTCAGAGGGTACATAAAACGTGCAGCTAGTAAAAAGAATTACTAAGTACCAGTGCAGTACACACCTTCCCGGACCGTCTGTATATAGGGCACGTGCTGAAAAGAAATGTTTACCAATTCTACATCTGTGTTTCAGATTCCACTCTTCAAAGATTGTGAGGCCCCGTTTTTGGAAGACCTGGGTTCACGGTTGAAGTCGAGACTATTCTCTCCCGGCGATTTCGTGTGCAAAGCCGGTGAGATCGGACGGGAGACGTACTTCGTCGTGCAGGGGGTACTGGAGGTCATCAGGTACGTAACCTCACAGCTTGTGTTCTTCTAGAAACCAAGGACTGAAATAATCTAAATCAAAAGGCTATACATGTATTAGACTTCTGCTGGCAAGGGGATATAACTATTAAATGCGGTGCCAAAAGACGCTAAATGAAATGAATGCAATTTAGAGCTTAGACTGGTGTTCCTTTGAATCAGAGTGTGCCGACCGAACGCACACATTCAAAGTTTGAACTGGTTTTGAATTTCGAATTCGTTGCGAGGCTATTCAGCATGGTCTAACCAATATTTCCGGGAGAAATCTGTGAATACAGTGAAACAAAACACGTGAGTCATTCCATCTCGCTCTATCTGGTGGAGTGCATAAGATGTAAAAAGCCCCTGTGCAGTCTGAATACCGCACGCCTAGAGCCCATGTTGAACATCGTCAGTCAGCGGTCCCCCCAAAAGTAAAACAAACGCCGCCCTCACCTAGAACGTCTGCACAGGAGGCTAGAAAAAGGCGCGCAGCACCGCTCCGAATGTAACCAAACCCGGCCCGGGTGGTAACTGACGAAAAGGCGTCCTGTGATCTTCTCGCCGTTTTTCAACACCTCGTGGCGCCTAAGTCGGACAGGTGGAAGATCAATAGACACCTGGATAATCAGTACTTGTAAAGGAATCAAGCACTTCCGCCACCCTCTTCAGCTCCTGTTACATTATCAACGTAATGACGACTTGATTCTAGCTGATCAATGACAGATAGTCCATGTAGCACTGACTGGTATGTGTTGTTCCTGGATCAGTGAAAACGACGACGAGGTGAGCCGGCTGACTACAGGCAGTGTTGTCGGGGAGGAGAGTCTGTTGAACCCGTACAGAGGGTCGCGGCGCTCCGCTGATGTGGTGTCCACGGGTTTCTCCCAGCTGCTCCTGCTCACCAACTCCGATGTGGTGGAGACCATGTATGACCACCCCGCCTCCAGGGTAAGCACACGTCATGAAAAGAAATATTATTGTTCGGAGAAAGATATTAGGCCACACCAAGTAAATTTTATGGATGACGTCCTTTGGAGACCCTAGATCTAATGCGAGAGGGCGAAAAAAAAACAAGTAGGGCCCTAAAAACAAGATGCCTAGATTAGAAATATACTAAGAGACGACAAATGTTAGGACACAAATTGAATGAGGTGACAGTGTTACAAGCAAGAAGTCTTTTATTCATCATCAAAACAGCAATAAATCAGGTGGAACAGTGGACAGTGAAAACAGGATGGTAATAGACACTGTCTTCGCGTTACGGGTTTCACGTCAATCTGACGATTTGCAGCACTGTCCTGACTCTTTAGTCATAGTTACATGAAGCGGAATTTTTTTTTTTTCTAGGAACATGCCAAAATCAATGCGCGCGCGGACGTCATCCATAAAATTTACTTGGTGTGGCCTTACTACTACTAGTAGTAACATCGTTTTGGTGTGCCATACCAGTTATACGATATCTGTATACATCTGTATACTTAGCTGTGTTACACAATCTCTCCCTGCCTGCCAGATTGGGCCTCCTCCCATAGAGCTTGTGGCCATACACCTCTAACTTGAGAGAACCATTCCCAATCCCAGAACTACTACCAATAGGAGCCCAGGGATCTTTGTCACTGTTCTAGTCCAACATTAGCTCAGGATATTCTCTGTCGCTAAGGAAACCAGTCATCACAGGCTCTAACAGCATGGTAACAGACAGTTCTCTGTGCTATTATAAAATACACAGATTACATTAGATTGAGGTGAACCAGTTTTAGTTCATTCAAAGCACTGCAACACGCCCTGCATCTGTCCCCATGCAGGAGGCGATAACCGTCCACAGCCGCCGGAGACTGCAGGACGTCCTGAGCCTTCCGCCAGAGAGCGCTGGGAACGACTCGGGATTCCGCAGCAGAAGGGATTCCGTCACTCCCCTCTCGTACCCAGACTCCCTGTCCATCAGCCTGGCGCGGAGGATGAGCGACAACCAGCTGACGTCACTGTCCAAGTACAGAAAACGTTTCAGGTAGAGGACTCATTAGAAATATGATAAAATATGGGCCGAAAAAATGTATATTTCTAGAAGATAAAATAGGACAGATTCCCAGAACAGTGATTGACTTGTAAAGTGATGTTATACGATGACTACGAAGAAAGAAAAGAAAGCGTCCAATAGAAAGCAATATAGCCCAGGAACTTACATGAATACAGATCATTTTAAGACCTGGCCAAGGCACATTTACAAACATATCCATACATAGAAGACCTCCATGAATGCGATGAACTAAAACATAATAGTATATCTTACAGGAGGGTGGACAGTAACGATAGCTGCGTGCCGCCGTCCCCCCTGGCCCAGAGCTTCGTGGCGCCGTCCAGCAGCCGGAGTCGGCGCAGTGGGATGCTGGAGCCCATCCCCATCGAGCTGGTGGACAGACTCGCCGCCGCGTACGAGCAGAACGCGCGGGCACTCAAGTGCTCCATCGATAGCGTCCTGGTGAGTTTAGTGAACCATGGAACAATAGCGGTTACCTTGACGGGTCATCCCAACCATACCGAAAGAACCAGATATTTTATGCATGCTTCATCTGGAAATTTGCCTCAAAGAAAAATTCGATGATATCTGAAGTTTGTAAAAGCGCAGTTGTGTATATGGTACCCCGGCCATCTTAGCGTACCACATACATTCAAATCAATACTATTGACCACCGCTACATACCGGTAAGATCAACCTGGCCATATTATGGCCACTTTTAGTAGTACCCCCTATCGTCCTTGGTAACCACCTGTCCACATAGATCAGAGTGGTCTTCTTGGTCAGGTTTGACTGTACTCGTTTCAACAGAAAACCAAACAGTTCTTACCGACTTTCAATGGTCATCTGTTACTTCGTTTCTTCACAAGTCGTGTTACACATGCGTACAGATTAAGTGAAAAGTATATTTCTGTAGTGTATACATACGAAAGACGTGGACTATTTCCCGTGATCTGCCCGTCCAGGACCGTGAGGTGCGCGGGCTGCGCCAGCGGCTACAGGAGGCGGACCAGGACCGGGAGGCACGGCAGATCGAGATCGCCATGCTCAGGAAGAAGCTGAAGGAGAAAGACACGGTAAGGCCTGCGTCTTATCTAGAATTGAAGTTCTGTATTACGTAAGTTTGGGGTCAGCTCGAGAGGTCTACGTACATAATTCGTGTCCACTGTGTCACCTATATAGCAAAGGCAGTAGAGAGATGGGGTAGACATTGTGCTAATGGTTGTTTGACACGTCTTCTTAGGTGCTATAGGACCTACAGTGCGCCCACAGAAATGATACAGGCCTACTACATACTACTAGAATACTGTAATTAGCCATTAAGTAGATTTAATTGTAGTTGTACCAAGTACCTAGAACTGCTTTGCCACCATAGCCTGTACTTATCGTGTAATAGCATAAACGTACAAGAAAGGTTTATAAATGAAACTACCTCTTTTGCAGTACTCCACAGCTGATGTGAGAAATCAGCCAGGCGAAGAGGCGCAGGTGTGGACCCGGCCGGCTTCGGGTACCAGGGCGGTTGGCAAGAGGAGGAGGTCCGATCACACCATCGTCACCATGCCGGAGGAACCGGAGCCGCCGACGTCACCCTCTCCTGTCACCGTGGATGGCTCCTCTACTATAGACTCAGGCGCACACAGCACGACTGCCACAGAGAACAGCCAGGGCAAGTCTGATGTGACATCTCGAAAGTCAATAACGCCAGTCGAGGCCCCAGAAAAACTCGCTTGCACGGCTTCGACAAAACCCGGCCTCCCTCTGAAGAGGGTCGGGTCGCCCGAGGACTCGGATTCGGGGCTTTCGCCTGGCGACAACTCTTCCTGACCATTGGTTAGGCCTAGGACTTGCACGTATGTAACGCCTAGAACTTCAAACACATTCCTCAAGTTACAAAGAAGCTGTCCAAATGCATCTATCTTGTACTGAAATCGTTATCAGCCAAGAGATTTCAGCGGGAACGATACTTCGTTTTCCTAACGTTACTTCGAGTGAGCAAGAACGTCAAATCTTCTGTGTCGCAATTTGTCTTCCTTCAACTTTCCTTGCACGTATTTTACCTGCACAGATTGAAATTGTGCAAGAAGTCTATAAGTGCGTTATGTTTAACCGGGAAAAATTAAGTTAACTTTTCAGTTTTGTTATTTACTCTGGAGTATTTTTTTAACCAAAGATATATGTACATGTATATGGAAACGAAATCATTATTTGGAAAGGCTTGTAGGGTAGTTCACGTTTTTTGTTGCACATGCTTGCTTTAAGTCAGGTGTTTCGAACGTATGGAGATTTTGCGGTGAAGATGATATGGAAACGCAGGAAATAATTTAACTGATATTTTGCTAGGTTATAATTGCGAACACCCTTTTTGTTAGCGCCCAGACCTGTTGTGTCGTGCTAAATTTCAGACCTTTAATACCATGCATGCTGTTTTGTCTATGATAGTAGACTATGTATTTGATGTTGTGACTGGAAAATTCAAGTCACTCTCTCCTTCTAAGTTACTATCTGCATATGTTATGTCCGTGCAATTGGCTTCCATGAACTAGTGACCACTACTTTTATGTACATGGAATATTTTCAAAAGCCATAGTTGATATCTTTTCTGTAACTATTAAAGCTTTTGCTTCCTCATGACTACGTCTGTATGCTTGTCTATTTGGATCCAATACCCAAATGTAACCACCACCTAATGGAGAAAAATACTGGTACTATTTTCTTTTTATCGCTTCACATCAGCACAGCTGTGGAACACAAGTACCAAAGAACAAAAATGTCAAAATGTCAACACATTTATTCTGAGATATTGCAAATACAACTGTATATTGATCCTAAACATCATCAGATACAATCTTACATAATCATGATTACCATATAAGTAGAAAACTTGCCAACTTTAATAAACTAGAACTTTATAATGCTAGGAACATGCCCTGATACCCACACTATCAACTGTTTGGAATGTTGTCTTGTTAATGTACATAACAACTCTACCACATGGCATCAACTACAGCTAACATAACTATGACTGGTTCAGAATTGGCAAACTTGACCAGCCAAAATCGCGTCTTCTATTCTTTCATCAAGTGTTTTAACTAAAATCCATGTTTATACTAGCAAGACATGCATTGTGTAGTGTCACAACTTAACATGGAATGGAAGTGTCGACCACTACATCTTGATTCAAATTTACTTCAGTACAATATAAGCCTAAGAGTTGAAACAGAATACAATTTACCTTTCACATGAACAACATTAATGCTTCTCTTTCTTCTCATCTCAAACACAATAGTCATAACATACAGTAGAATTCACTTGAGGTGTTGTAGTGTCTACAACTGAACCAAACACAACCAAAACATCTGACTGTACATGACCTGATGCCAGTTTTGGATTCTCATGTTCACAAGTGTTCAATTGAGAAGTCAGTAAGAAGAACCAGCTGCTTTTTTAGCCAGCTATGACTGTGTGACAGTCCAAACTTACTTCAGAACAGCAAGGACGTATTGATGGAATGTGATGTGGACTTATGTTTAAGTATTTTGCCTGATATTGGACAAGACTGTTGAGTTGATAACACGGTGGTGGTTTAGCTTCCTCAGTGGTGTGGTGAATCATCTTCCACAAACTCCACAGCCTCATCCTTGTTGACTGTTTCGATGTGGCTGACCTGTTGTGTGAGAGACAGACATGACTGAGTATGCAGTACAACAAGGAACCCTGTCTCCACTAGTCCTGCCTCAAATCTCCACTGGTGAGCATTAAGTTACCCCCAGTCTGCTTGATGTGTCCTGGGCTACCTCCATTCTAAACTTTTGAATTTGTGGTGGCAAAACTGTTGTCACACATGAGGGGAGCACTCATTGTTGTACTTTAATACAGCGCACAATTCTGCATTTCAAGAGCCATCAGCTTCCAGATGTGATCTTAAAAGCACCAAGATTTTGGTTGTAATAAGGCCAAATCAAACAAATCTAATGCTTGTAATTGTAATGAAACAAGGCAATCTCATGCCTGTCTCTTTTCCAAAAAGTGCTCCCCACAGTGTGACACAGAGAGAGCTGAGAAGAGAAGTCACAACAGCTGTTACAGTATGTACAAGTAAGCAGCATGTCATGTACCACTCAGGCCTGCAATCTCCACCTGCACATGTACACCTGTGTACGGCTGTGGGACAGGTCAGGAGTGTCCAAGCTGGTCTGCCAGCCGACCTTGCCTGTTGGAGAGAACTCACAACGGCTGAGGACAAACTGTAAGTTGTGTATGAACTCCATGGGTGCAAGTAGTCAGTGAACCCCTTTACTCATGCACAAACACGGCACAGAAATCATTTAGAAACATGAATGTTTAAAACAAAATTGCAGTACATGTGTATCTCTTTCTGAATATCCAATTACATATAGAGCAGTTCACCAGATGCAAAGAAAAAGTTACAATACATGGATGTAGTCAGGTGAAGAAAAGGTGCAGCTACAATGTATATGGTTTTAACTCAGATGTTTTCAGCTACCCAAGTACATTTACAATATGGCCTATTTTCAAATTCTGAGTTCAACTTTTATGTGAGCTATTCTTTGAAGAATGAAAAAAAAAGTATAAGCAAGGAAGAATCAGACAAGAAAGCAATGTGCACCCTTGGGGTCTGTGTGGTTGCTGTAGTGCATTGTGAGTTTACTATACTACATAAGGAAGAACATGTAGACCTATTGGCGTGTGGTGTCATCTTCCACGAAGTCCAGGGCATCCAGCTTGACACAGGTTTCTATGTGGCTGACCTGACGTGGTACAATAGTAGGTACATGTAAGTACAAACATACATGGCAATGTCAGTTGTCTTTACACACGTGCATGTATCTGTGTTAATCAACATGTAAAACTGCCTTTCTGTGTAACACCAGTTTTGCAGTCATCTGGTAGCTGGTTACATTACATGGAAACACTGTTAGATCTCAAACCTGCAAAAGTACTGGGTTAGTAACAGAGGCATTCAAGATGTCATGTAACCCCTACAATTACAAGTAACTCAGGTCCAGTTGTGCAGTTTGCAACTGTGGATACATATCATACACAACGTATTAGTATACTATGTGAATTAGATTAAATATCAAACTCTTAAAATCAATTCAACATCACACATAGTGAGGGCATATTGAATAAAATAAAATTTGAAAACAAAAATATTTGCAATCCTATGGCTTATTTATCAAGCAGAACATCCCAAAACCTTGTTGCTGTGAGCTTCATTTTCCAGAACTTTTCAAAGAAACTGTCAGAACTCAGAGGATTAGAAGTTTGGTGGTGAGAGTAAACCTTACCTTGTTCCTGTACTTGACTCCGTAGAACTTGTCTGCTGTCTCCAGCAGCTCAGGACGGAAGGTTGTGGTGATGAACTGTGCGTCGGAGGACAGCTCCTGGATCATCTCTGTACAGGGACAGGACAGACCAGTTTGTCTATGACAGGCTGAAATACCACTTCTGGACACTGAACTAATTTGGTGGGAGGTATAGGAGACTATACTAGAAGATGGCAGTGAACGTTGGTTTTGAAAGCTTGTGAGTTGTGTTCAAGAGAGAAACACTGGTCAGGACTAGAGTTCCCTAATTTTGCATCTGTCGGTGTAGAAAGACTTAGTTAGAGACTGGTACATGTACATGTATTTGGACAGTGTAAAGATGTGAGCTAGAAGAGAACCAAGTGGTAGGCTGAAAAGCTCTCAGTGATGGAACAAAAAGTGAGAATTCATAGGAACAATGAAAACATTTGTAGGAGACGTTTTGTCTGTGGAAAGGAGAGTCCATCTTTGAGGCCAGATGACGTCCAATGGTCACACAAATTCTCCTTTGAATACAGTCTAAGTATTGTAGGCTGTTCATTGGGGCTCCAGCCCAGAGGTGCGAGCAATGTTATAATATGAAATCAGTAGAATCTGACAGTATAGCATGATCCTCTTACGTGCTACGGCTGTTCTGTGTGTGGAGTCCAGGGCTGCATCAATCTCATCAAACAGGTAGAAGGGTGCAGGGTCACACTTCTGGATGGCAAAGATGAGGGTGAGGGCCACCAGGGACTTCTGGCCACCCGACAGCTGCTGCATCTCTTTCATCCCCTCGTTACGCTCGTTAAACGACACCTGGCAGGAGACAGGATTGATGTGTGTTTTAAATGTGCCATTCAGCAAGAGACAACTGACATTCTGCAGCAATTCTGGACTTCTGGGGAACAACTTTGATTGACATAGCAATCTAAGAGAACTTACCGACTACCGGTCCCTTGCCAGGGGTAGCTGTGGGAGGCACTAAGCGTACTACCACTTTTATGCTAATAACATCACTTTCTATGATTCTACTTTGTACTGTATTGTGAATGTTGAAGTTGTCGTTGTCTCACCTTGATGCCCACCCCTGTGAACTGTTCTACAGGTGGTAGACTGGTCTGAGATGACGCCTGGCTGCCTCCCTCCAGATCCTTTAGTGAAAAAAAACAATGTTAAACTTCAGCAACAGGTAATGGTACAAACAGGACTACAGATCAGTATAACACAAATACCATTCAAAATATTTAATTTCTGAAGACAATGCAGTCAGTCGTGTTTAATTGAGCTTGGATAGTCTCTTGAAAAATTATACTCAATTTAGTGTTCTTGTGCAGGGAAGTTAGTGTTTTTGTTCTTCTCTTTATGACAGACAGTTCTTACTTCTGGGTTCTCTGGTGCCTCTGTCTTCATGATCAGTTTCCCCTTTCCTCCTGGGACCAGCTTCTCAAACACCTCACTGAAATACTTGGAAACCTGTCAAAGAAAAAATCAATTCATTACAATGCATAATTATGACATAATAATAATATTCAGTTACACAGTAGTATTGTGTTTTAAGCTATTAAATTGATGAAAACATTTGGTGTAAGGTTCCCAAGAAACAATCCCACACATAAAAGGCTGAGTAAGAAGCTGCACTTACCTGTTTGAAAGTGAGCTGGATAGCCTCATACTTCCTATGCTCCAGAACATCCATCAGTTCTATGATAGACTGCAGAAAAGGGAGGGGAAAATGTGTTCATAATAATTCCACATTAACAATATATGGGATCCAATAAATACAGAAAACCTGTGTTGTGCTGTTTAACAGTTTCAAAGTTGCTACAAAATTTTGATCTCTGATTTTTAACCATCACATTGTTGTTGACAACTTTGCCAATGACTCCATGGACAGTACCTGTCCCTAACATCCAAATAACAGAAGTACAGACTACGTAAGAGTGAAGACAGTACCCTGTGTCCCCTGTCCAGCTCATCCCTTCTCTTCAGCAGTTTCTCCTTCTGTTCCGAGAAGTTGACGTACTGGTCCAACGCTTTCTTATTCACGTGGCTGTACTTCTTCAACTCCTGGTTACACTGCTCCAACTTCTTGAACAACTATAGGAAGAAAACATGTTAACTTCTCTTTACACATTTTATTTTACATGGTTGAAATTTGAATGCGCAAAACAAAAGCATGTCAATGAAGTTGAAAGCAACAGCACTAAGAACTTGAAGTTAGACTTACTGCCTTGAGGGACAGACTCTGATATTTCTCAAAAGCGTCACTAGGGAGAGAGCCCAACTCCCTGATCTTGCGCATACACTCCTCTTTCTGTGAAACAAAACAGACATGATCACCACTAAAATAAATAACTGTCAAGACAACGTTCACAGCTTGTCTTAAGTTCTGAGGAACAAAGAATTAATGATACATCAATACAATATCCAAAACTTTTAGCCTTTGATGGCTGGAACTATTAGCACAATATACACTATTTTACAGATTTTCAAAAATAACTGGACACATTGGGATATAGCACTTAAAGGCAGGAAAGGAGTTTTGAAAAAAAAATGTCTACCCTCTTACGTTATCTAGATAAAATACCAACTACTGGTACAAAATGTAATTAGCTTTTGGATCCAAGAACAACTCAAAAGGTAGCTTGACCCCAGAACACACACCTTCTTTAGAAGCAGGCTCTGTTTGTTGGTCATCTTCTCCAGCTCCTTGGCATCATCATTGATTCTCTCCGAGTGCTCAACCTCCTTTCTCTGCAGGAAACAAAGTGCAAGGATGAAGAATTGCAGAAGACAATCATATGGCACTTCTGTGGGAGTGATTGGTCAATCTTGAACAGGGACATCAGGGATGATCAAAGATTGATCAAAGTGTGTGCACTAATCAGCTATTAAATTCTAGCTTGAATTACTTTATTACCAATTTATTTAAAGGAATGTAAAAGACTACAAATGTATGATGATTATTCAGAGGCAGATAGCTCTCTGGCTACAGAGTGATGTAGATTTGGGTGCCCTTGCTGTTATTTTTTGGGAACTGCAGCAACTATGTAGTTCTCTACAGTCGTCCAAGATTGCTTGTATCTGAGATGTAGACCCAACAGACATTTTACCTTCCATTCCTCCAGGCTAGACTGCAACTCGGACAGGTCCCTGTTCATGTGGTCAACCTCTCGTTCAATGTCTGCAAGGAATACAGTTACAAAAATGTATCTTAGAAAAAAGAAGGTACCAATTCTATCATCCAGTCTTAGCTTACAGAAGCTGCTTTCCCACTAGCTTGTACAAGAACGTATATACAATGTAAGTCTACATGTAAGTTGAATATCTGGGAGATTCCCACATTATTTCCAAAACACAACTATGTCTTCCCATGTCTGACTTAGCTTGATGAAGGCTCATTTTCTTAAGAATTTTTGCAGGTGATTTTGTACCCTACTGATCTCGAGAAATTTTAAGACAGCTGTTGAGACGTCTGTTAGTGACCCACCGTCCAGCCGTGTGACTGCTGACTCCATGCCTCTGGCCAGGGTGCTCAGCTCCTCCCTGGCTGTGTCCAACCGTGACTTTTTACTCTCCACAGAAATGTCTTGAAGCTCCTACAGCAAAATCAGCAAATTACTGTCAGTAATGTATTGTGTTAAGATGCAGCAAATCTGGCAGTTTTGCTCCAACCAACGTTATGCCAGGCATTAGAATGATAAATATTTGAACACATCATTCCAACCAAAAATTGTGTGACTTGTTTAACTGCCTGCCAGCTTTGATTCAAACTGCAAACAACAGATTTCCAAGTATTTTGGGTTTTTGTGACCTTCAAGCCAAATGACCTTCTGTCATTCTTCCTGTCAATCTTCTCCAACCCACATGCTGTCCACCCCCATTTCCTTGTGTCTGACCTTTTGACCTGTCATTCTGCCTGCCAATTTTTCCTCCACCCATGTGCTTTCAACCTACTCAGACAAACAAACAACCCCACAGCTCAGCCCATACCTGGGAGTAAAAAATGGATGTAGCAATAGGAGGGAAGCTGTACATGTTGGTATATAGTATGGAGGTAGTGCTCTTGTGTATCTAGTTTGTGCAATGTTTCCACAAGTGTACAAGACTGTGGAGTCTCACCATCTGTAGCTGCTCACGGCGCCGCATCAGGTTGTCAGTGATCTTGTTCTCCAGCCTATTCTTACGCTGCTCCAGGTCGTACCGTCTCTTCAGCACGTCCTTATTCTCCTGACGCAGGGCTGCAATCTCATCATTTAGACTGTCCACCTGCACAACACAGTCAGCTTTTAAGACTTTTTTTAAGACTATTAAACAGTCTTTCCTAAACTGGGAAACGGCCTATGGCTGCTTTATGAAGATGTGGAGAAGTGTTTACAACATAAAAATGGGGCCAACACAAAAATATCTGATTAAGTAAGATGAGGTTTACTGGCCACTGTTTCAGCAACAGTAGAGTCCAACTTGGTGCTAATGGCATGGGGATGGCTATCATGCAAGATAGGAGCAAGTCAGGAACAACTGAAGCTTACGCTATTAGTTATCTGACTGGTCTACAGGTCTAAAACTGCACCACAATCATGAACATAGACAACGTGGCGTGACCATACCTCTCTCTGGTCGTCCACAGTCAGCTGGGACATGAGAGACGTGCCCATCTCTGCCTGAAGGGACTCCGTGGTGGACCGCATGGCCTCCAGCTCAGACTGCTGACTGTTCAGACTACGCTCCTACACACACAACATCCACACAGGGCATTTCAAACTGTACACAGATGTATCAAGATAAAAAGTTGTTCTCATCAAAATTGGACACAACAGAATCAATGCACAAATGCACTTTTTGGCAGTAATAAGAATGGAGAAGTTTTAGGGGCTTCTAAATTTTGTAGAATTAATTATTATAACAATATGACAGCAGAAATAATGAATGGAATTCCTGATTGGTGACTTGGAATGGACCAATTTGAACATTTGCTTTCTCAATCATTAACAGAAACTGAACCCAACTGAACAGAACCGAACAAGAAAATTTAACTTGTTTGAACGGAACCCAGGTTCCAACAGTCACCACACCATTTCATGTAGCTGGTCATCAAGGCGGAGGCGTTTGCGCTCCCTGTTCAGGTTAGCTACATCCCTGCGTATCTGCTCATATGTGTCTCTGTAAGCACAACACCAGGGCAATGTATTGAGGTTGAAGGGAAGGGCAGAATGGTCTTGCTACTTGGGATACTGTAAATGCAGAAACTTTTGCAGTGGCTTCATTTTTGTGCTTTTCTCTGTGATAACTTAACACAAAATCACAACACCGAATTGTTCCAACCGTGAAATACAAGCACCAAGAAAACTGTCTATTCCTTCATACTGCGAAATAAAAACCACTTTGAAAGTTAATGCATTTACAGTAGTTGGAGATGGTTGTGTGAATAGCTGTGAGTGGGGGGGCGATAAGGACTGACCAAAAATGGAGGGAAATTCTAATGGTGCAATTTTTTCAGCTTTCTAGTTCTGCTTTTAGTCATCTTTTTTTTGTGTGTTCAATCTTTTCTTTAGAGATCCACCCTGCAGAACTATTCTTCCCCCCATTTTTGACCAACTCCCCATCACCCTCCCAGGTCTATAGCTACAGTAGAAGTGTGCAGTGACAGAAATGGCAGCATGCTTGGGAAGATGGTGGCAGTGCAGCTGTCTACAGGTGGGAGGGGGGGGGGGCAGTCATATCACGTCAGCAAAGGTCTACCTTAGGTTGCAGAGATCTCTGCAAGGCCTGAAATTGTTCCTTCATAATCCGCATGTCGCTGCGCATTCTCTCGTATGTGTCCCTGGGGAGTCAAAGTGTAGGGTTCATCTCAAAGGTACATTGTTAAATCGTGATAAAATTTAAATTCTGCATCATGCCGTACTTCTTATGTAACACAAGTGAACGAAGTCCTCCCAGTTGTCAAATCGTTTGATGAAAAAAAAAACACAGCATCGTAGTGTTAGATTTTTGTTCCAAATCTTATTTTTTGTGACTCATCATCATTCAGCATATCCTGATACTTCTAACTTCTGATAAAATTAGAATCAGATGACTAACTTGTTTTTGCTGTTTCTAGTCTCCAGTTTCTGCATCTCACTGAGCACATTGGTCACCCTGGATTCAATATCTGACAGACAAGTCAAGGTTCATACAGAAAAAGCAACATACAATACAAGACTGCAGAATTACAAGTACATGTCTTAAAGAAAGGCTTCAGCTTTAAGTGCTCTTGTCAACCAGAGAGTAATAGTGGTTATTGTACATAAAAACCCTACATAAATTTTAAAAACTGACACTTTCTTCAACTACCACTTCCCTTGCAAAGGAAGGATACCGTCCAGTTTCTGTTTCATGATCTCGTACTCCGTCTCCTGCGCCTCCAGCTGTTGCGTCAGGGAGACTTTGGTCTGCTGCAGGTCCAGCCGTGACTTCCGTGTGTCGTAGTACCCACCAGTCAGGGCCCCTCGACGACTTACCTGGTCACCTGGATACACACAGGGTGGAACATGGGATTATCTCATGATGATCGAATAATTTCTTGTTTTAATACCTCTGTGTGGGGAGGTATTGTTTTTAGTGTGTTTGCTTGCATGACCATAGTTTATTGAATTCAATTGGGTAGAGTCACAGAAAGTGAGGGAGGAAACAGCATGCTGACAGGAACATGTAGGTCAAATTGGAGGTCACAATGGTCATGGACAGTGCAATCATCATCATACAGAGAAATCATCATCATCATCATCATCATCATCATCATCCAGACAGTAGAATATATGCACAGAATTGCACAATAGTGAATGGATACTCATAGAGAATACTAATAGAGAATACTCCTCATGACAACTCTAAATAAATACTTCACAGAGAGGTAACATAGTAGTGTGTATTGCATTAACACACCCAGTCGGTATGCCTTGTAAAACACCATCAGTAGAAACATATATACACGGATAGTACATATAAATAGATAGGGCCAGCTTGTATGATACTTAATGGTCTTAATAGCTAATTGTACGCAGGCAGAGACAAATTACAGCAATAACGAAATGCGGCCCAAACCTTCCAGAGTGATACAGTCCAGGTTCTGTGTGCGTGCGAACTGTGTGGCCACCTCCATGCTGCGACAGATCAGGGTCTTGCCGAAGACGTGCTGGAAGGCTTTGTTCAGCTTCTGGTCGAAGCGCAGCTGGTTGATCATGGGCAGAGCATCCTGTACAACAGGTGGTACGTCTTGTCAAGCCTCAACATTACGCTCATTTAGAGAAGACTCTCAAACAAAATTAGCCACAGTGATTAAGACATGTCTGCTGTGGCCCAAAACAGAAGTACCTGGAGAAGTTCTGTCAGAACTAGTAGTCGACCGATGCAACAATAGTTGTGGGAGGATCTAAGGTCTAAGATCTCTAGATAATTAGATTCATCACAATAAGTTACATTTTCTTGATCATAATGATTTCATTTCAAACTGTACCTTCATCACGAAAGAAGTGAGCTGTTCAATGAGGCCATCAAATTCTATCCTAACTTTCACATGTTTACAGAAAAAAAGAGAACTACGGTTTTCTAAACATCCGAAAACCAACAGATTACAGAAAAAGTGAGATCCTCCATCTTCCTCTGTCTTGAAATGAATTCAAGCCCCGTAGGTTTAGGACATACTATTTTTAGATATGGAATATTTCTACTACTGTTTGCCTTTCTTGGTTAAATATTCTTCTTGTACTTGCAACTAGCCGTTGGGCAGGAGTTTGCAATAAAAAAATTAATTTTAATTTCAATGGGGCAAGTACTGGTTATGTAGTGAGTTTACTGTCAGAAAAAATGGCTGTTGTCTGTGAGTACTCACCGGTGTCTCCGGGTAGTTGGTGCCCCTGACATCCAGGCGGTTCAGTGGCATGAAGTTACACTCCCCGGGCATCTTCCGTTTGTTCATCTCCTTCAGGATCTCTGTTGCAATGTCGGCATTGTCCACGATGTGGTAGAATAATCTGAAATACAGCACAAGATATATATCAGGCATAACTCCTGCTGAGCTTGCTATAACATGGACACAAGCTAACATGTCTTCACTTAAGTAGTATAAGCTCGGTCCCCTTCTATCAAGGACTATACCATCTAAAATAAATTATGGGGGCTGTTTCAAAACGTCTTCTTCTAATTGTCGTCTTGATCCCTTCATCTAACCCATTATCCTTTCAAAAATTTGACTGTTCCTCTGACCTGTTCCCAGCTGTCACCTCCACGCAGGTGAAGAAGTTTTTGTCGCATTCGAAGTTCTCGATCATCGTGCCGTGGTAACCGTCGGCGACCTTCCTCTTGTCCACGTCTCGGCGCCACATGTCCAGGATCTTGTGCACACTGTCCATTCCATTCAGAATGGCCTACAAAACACAAAAAAACTTGGTTTCAATGACACATGTATTTATCTATTTATTGAGCCCAGAACATACAGAAGTCTATGACCCTAACCAGAAGACTACCTGGACCTAATCAAAAACCTATATGATACGTGCATATGATTGTCATACTCAAATGTACCTTTTTCCTTTTGGTTAACATGACAAGTTTCAGGGTTGGAGTACAAGAAGAAAACACATGTAGAAAGGACACGTGTGTGTATTATGACTTTTGTTCCTCCTTACCTTGCCGGTGAGTGAGCGCAGCTGCTGTTGTGTCTTACTGAGCTCCTCCCGAGTCCCAGCGATGGACTGCTGCATGCTGTTCTCTGTGCGCCACAGGGAGCTGTGGTGATGGTTAAAACAGGGTACTGATGATACATGTATGTCTTTATTTCAATGTACTCCCTCATTGGATGCACATATTTTAACTTATCTGATTTTTCCAGTTTCAATGATGACTTTTATCATTTCTATATCAGAGGGAGATGCATCATTAAAACAGTGACAACAGAAATCTTCCTGCCATAAGGTACTATAAAACATACCCAGCAACAGCTCTTAAGTATTCAGTGGCAAAGAGTAGTATTAGAAGCAATCAGTCTTACAGTTTGTAAGTTGACCTATGATTCAAAGGGTAGACCTTTTACTGTCGTTGCATGCGTTGTGCATTTTTGCAATACCTAGCTGAATTGGAACCCTATACACCCAGACCCCTACATGACCCTGTCCTTACTTGCGCTCATTCTGTAGATGGTCCTTCTGTGTCTTCTGTTCGTAGTACTTCCTGTTTAGCTCGTCCATCTGACCTCGCAGGTTCTCCATCTCCTCTGTTCGTTGCTGGAATAAAAGGCAGTCCCTGGTATGTTAGAGATTTCTAATGAAAGTGATGGCTGTGTAAGATCTTTAACAGGGAATCAGCCATCAAAAGTCCTTCATTGTTTGGCTGCACGAAGTCGCTTATAAGAACAGAAAATACCAACATAGATTTTTTTTACCTTTGTTTGGTTTCCCAAATCCTCCTGACGTTTGTGGTTGCTCTCGATGTCCTCCCTCAGCTTGCGAATCTGTTTGAGATTGAAAGAAAAAGGAAACAATGTCTAATTTTGCAAAAATTTTCTTATTCAATGTGGGAGCAATGTGGCAAACTGCACAATAATCAGAAAGCATACAGCTCCAGAAAGGCAGCACAATTTCCCCACGTTTATTCTCTTATTTCTCAGAGAAATATAAAAAGACAACCAAAACTCTTAGATAGCCCAGACCTTGCCAAACCTCAAATTATTAGCACAGGTACAGTGCGTACACTAAGGTAAAAACAATGGCCCCTGACCTGTTCCTTCTTGTCATTGACAGTTTTCTTCAGAGAATTCAGCTCTTTCTTGATCCATCTGTCACGTTCGTCCTCGTTGCGAAACTGGTTCCCACGGCCTTGCTTGGCATACAGCGCTGCTCTCTTCTGTTCACAAGTGGCAAGCCTGGGGGTGTGTATGGGGGAGGCAAGGTCAGAAGAATGAAAAAAAATCATACATTTCAGACTGCTTGGAAGAAATTTGGGTTGTCATGACCCCCATCCACATGCTGTCAACCTACTCTGTCCAGACAAACAGAATATACAAATCTACAGCTCAGCCATCAAAGCAACAATTTCATACCCCTTGCTATTAAGGCTCATGCAACGGTCTGACATTATGAAATTTGATGTTTTACCTGTTGGTGACTTCATCCTCCCTGGTGCGGAGCTCGTTGTAGGGTTCTGTGATCTGGTCCAGCTCCTCCTGTCGTACAGCTATCTCCTCCTGCAGTCTCTGCAGCTCCAACTCTGCATGGGCCTGGAAAAAATTAACCAGTAAAACTGCCTTATCTCTGACTTGTACAGATGTCACAGGTAGGCATGGCAGAGTTCAGTGTCAAGATGGGATTGAACAGAAAGGCAATACATTTCATATAACAGGGCTGGAAATACTGGGTACATGTGTACATGTACTTCCGTGAATCCAAAAATGGAGCTGTGCACCTAATGTTTTTAAATTGGGTGCTTTGGTGTACCTACATATTGGTGCATGATTATGCATGTAAAGATACTACTGTACACTAGTATACAACCTTGTATCAACATTGTGTTAAGTTTTGCAGAACACCATCCCATACCTTACTGTCCCTGTCCCCCTGTAGTTCCTGCTCCATGTCCTGTACACGCAGCTCCAGTTTGGCCCTGCGTTTGAACACGTCCTGCCGCTCTGACATCAGCTGGTCCTTCTCCTCAACCAATGCTTGCATGTTGGCCTTCAGTTCACGGATATCTTTACTCAGTCCCTGTGCAGGAGATAGTCAGTTTACTATTTCTTATCTTGTTGTCTTTTGCATACAGGCATAAAAGCAAGAATGGATCTTCTTTTTACAGATCATTATTCTTTCAAAAGCAAGGAGAGCTCCTTACAACAAAAGCTACAACTTGTTGATTCATAATGAAAATAGTCCTCCTTTCTAAAGCTTCAGACTGATGCTAACAATACAGTACCTTGCACTTATCTCCTGCTTCCTGTGCACTATCACGCAGCTCCCGTGAGCGTTGCCCACTCTTGTCTCGCTTATTGGAAAGCTGGAAGAGAAGGACCAAATGTTATGGGATATGACATTATGATAGTTTGTTATTACTTTTATCATGAATACACCACCTTTCAGACTCCAAAGTAGTTAGCATCATTTCCTTGGGTTATCTTGTGCAAATTTTCTGAAAGTATTTCTGAAAATACAGATGACTTACATCCTCTAGCTGGTTGCGTGTATTCCTCAGCTCATGGTCATGAATTGTGTACTCCAAGGATCTGGAAAGAGATATCAAGAAAAATATTTATATTTCTGACAAATTCAGTGTCAGGTGACTGAATGATACAAGTATTCAAACAGAAATACATTTGTTCAAGAGTCAACAACCTTTGAAAAAGAGAAAAACGTACCTGAAACCTATCGCCAAACACAAAAGGATTTCTAGAGTGGCAAAAAAAACAACACTGAAGTCTTACCGTCTCATCTTGTCATATTTTAGGTACTGGTTCAGTTCTTCTTTCTCCTGCTCCAGTGTTGCCAACCTCTCCTCAATGTACTTCAGCAGTTCTTCAATCTTCTCCTGCTTTCCCTCTGAAACAAGACATCAGAGATTTCTGACTTCCCCGAAAGTATTTTAGGCTTTTGTGAATCTATTGGAACAAACAAGGAGATTGTATGGCCTACTTCAACTGAGACTTTCTGCCAATCAATATTCCCTCCACCCACAGGATGTCAACCTATCAGACAGGCATACACAGCCCCACAGACAAACCCACCCAAAACAATAGTTCCCTATTGAAAGTGAAAAGGAATAACTACATTCATCATTGAAAGAGCAGGCCCCCTGTTGCAAAATAACCCAAAATGTATGGCAGCTGTGGTTAAAGCATTTATTCAAGAAAAAGGAGCTGAACACATGTAAAAAGAAGTACCTGTCTCTTTGAGGATGTTCTGGCTCTCAGACTTGCGCTCATCGTACACCCTCGTGCCAGCCACCTCTCTCAGGAGCTTCAGACGCTGAGAGTCTGGGGCTGTCGCCATCTGGTTAATCTGCAACAGATAACAAGAAACTTCTATAACCTTGCACATTAGCATATAGACAACCTATACTGTAACATTGGTCAATGTCACACAGTCAGAGCTACTGTGTATCTACATTATACACTAGACAAGCAATGTCAAGCTAGTCATGCTAAAACTGAGCCAAATGATGAAATGATGACTTGTCCAAATGAAAGCTCATCTGTGTAGGTAACCTCCATAATGGTTGATGAGTTTGACTGAAAATTTATGGTGAGTGTTGCCTTTTGTGTTTCATTTTAGATAGTTACCATTAATGATCAAATGTGCACATTTTTTTATAAATATTTCATTTGATGAACTAAAGGAAACTTGACTCACTGCAAGAGAGACAGGGGTTGCACAATGTGAAATAAAACCCTTACCTTTCCTTGCTTGACAATGTAGTACGGGTTACTACGGGAGAATCCAGCACTCTCCAGAAGGTTCATCACGTCTGTCTTACTGCAAGAAAACAAAGTCTGCTGCTTCACACACAGGTATATCTCACCTCTTAAATACCATACTCAACTTCTAAAGCAAGAAAGCTAACTTGCACACAAGTTTTATAACATTGTTTCTGTCACACTGTAAATTAGGTAGAATGCACTTTTTTAAAACAAAGCCAGTCAGATGAGAGATCTAAAATAGTTGTTCACATATCCAACTCACGTGACCATCTTCTTGTCCAAGAAATATTGGTCCTTCTTGGAGCCGATGACACGTCGAAGAGTTACCTCATCCTTGTCAATCTGTAGGGTATAACAATAGGATTAGTCACAATGACAATATATACACATATAACCATGGTACAATGTGCAATACATGTACACAGGTACGTTACAGCTTAGTTACTAGTATTACAGCTATCATAGCTGTAATACTAGCAACTAAGTGAGCTATCTCTACATGCTCAACTGGTTTCCCTCTAGAACTAGTGTTAATGAGACCTTCTTACATGTGATGTTATGATTAAGACACTGTTAACATGCACAAAGAGAAATTGACCTACCGGCAGCCTGTTGTCGGAATTGTCAAACACAATCTCTACAAAGGCAGAGATGACTCTGGGCCCTGTGCCTTCCTGCAGAAGTGAGGAACATGTAACAGTTACATTATGTATGTACATTTGTAATATACATGTACTGCTAGTATGTTTTTGACGGATTCAGTCAACATGTTCATCATCTCTCATAAGAAAAAAACAATAGGGTATAGTGAATAACCAGGTGAAAAGTATAATTTGTAAGAAATTCGACCATCTGGACTTACATGTAGCAAAGCCTGCCTCTGCTCAGGACGCAGGTGACTAAACTCGTCACTCAGAACAAACTGGATCGCTGGGAGAGGGAGGTAGGACTCTAATTATTACAAAGTCCCTCTGGTACAACATGTTTGTATCTGGCAGTATGAGACTGAACGTCACAGCTTGAATGATTTTTAGCATACCGGATTACCGGTAGTACACATATTTTAGAATATTCATGCAAGAGATTTTGAAATAGAGAAGTTGCTAATTATAATTTACTGTTTTGTCAGTATCTGTATGATACTTTGAACATAAGACGATTGGACTCACCATAAAAGAAGTTGCTCTTTCCTGATCCATTTCTTCCAACTGCAAATGTGAAAAAATTATTTTTAGTTTACCAAAGCAATCAGACATGTACAATGGAATTGTACCACAGACCTATCTGTATCAGACAATAGTGAAGTCTTAAATACTAGTAGTACATCACTAAACAATTTACACATCCTTCAAAAGACATGGCTTCTTCCATGCAATGATAGCTACCCTGGTAGCTTAGATTGCAGTGCCATCTCACCATGTATTGTATTTGACTTACCCACAACATTGTGCTTGGGACTGAAGGGGTCGATGGTGGTTTGGTCCCGGTAACTACGGAAACCTTGGATGATCACCTGGAGATTTTATGAAGGGCAGAAATTGGTTAATATTTACCTTAGTCAGTTAGTGTTAGGAATACTATGTGTATTGCAGACTTATGGTACTGTCGATGTTGTTGGCAAGGCAAGGCCAACTTTTCCTGAGCTGATTCAGAATTCTAGTGTCAGGTGTCAAGGATACACAACTGTACGTACTAGTATGAGATTCATAACATTACATAATGAGTACAATCATCACTACAGTACAAAAATCAAATAATATTTTTCAAGATAGGGTCAAATTATCACTTAAATTCTCTGAATAGTATGAGGTACTAGCAAAATAAACAAATGAATTGTACACATAATTTTATCATATTGCACCTATGAACTTTAGTTTCTCTGGTTTGCGAATTTTGTGTGCGTAGACAGGAACTTTCACTGAACACCATGAATATGAAATATGATCATAACAACATAATTTCCTCACAAATAAACGATACGGGAAAACAACTTTGGGTAAGGTAATTTTCGCATCCACCTCGATTTACATTTCACAGCAACATTACAATGTTCTCGGCAATCGGCTAATTTCCTTCATTTTAACTTCAGCACAAATTATATTATAAAACCATACGTATTACTTTTTTTTGTCCCCGAAAAGATCGATCTCCAGTCACATCACACTTTGCAGTGATCAGTGCTCTGATCATGCACCAGACATACACAACAATAGCACGTTTTGCGTGGTATAAAAGGCCAAGATCTTGCACAACCTAAGTCTTACCTGCTTGATGTACATCGTTGTAACCTTCCAGTATCCTCTGTGGACACGAATCGAGGTAAAATCGTGGAAAAACAATGGATTTTTGCAGCTCCTCCTACCTAATTCGCACAAACAAAATGGCGGCAAATTTGGGACAAGTCCATCGGGCCATCAATCAAAGGTAGAATTGCTCTGAATGACATGGAATTAAAAGATCGGCTAAGTTTATCTGGTTACGTGTACAACAGTAATAAATAATAATAACTTATCTAAGTATTATAAATTACTCTATAAGCCACTGGTAACAGTCAATTGACACTGTGTGACATTTATTCTAGTAAAGTTACCGATGGTGAATGGTCTCTTCCAGAGTCTGGGCATGTACAAAATGGCGCGAAAATTGTCTCAAAGGGTCCCAATGTACCTTCTGCAAAGGCCATATATCTATGTGAATATATGGATATAACATATGAAAGAGTCATGGATGTGGAGCACAAAGAAACAGAGTTATTAAACTTTTGCAGAACGATCATGAATTCATACAAACTACTACATTCTTCACTAGTATATAGTCTATTTACTTTCTTCCCTTACTCGTGAAATGGGGATGTAGCTCAGATGGTAGAGCGCTCGCTTAGCATGCGAGAGGTACGGGGATCGATACCCCGCATCTCCAGAACAATTTTTATTTTTCAAAATTGATTGGATTTTTTTCTTTATGCGTGTCACTTAAAAAAGAAAACATTTTTATGACTTCAAATTTTTTTCCATCTGAACATTTGATTTATGCAGGTCATCAGTGATGGCCTGGACTCGACAATGAAGCCCTGTGTAGTGTAACGTACGTATGTTTGGCAGGACGGGTCGGATCGTCCTAGCCTCTACCAGGCTTCGGGAAGCGGTAGTGAGAGACAACATTGAAGAAAAAAATTCCAAATAGAAAGTCATACCAAGCTAAAGGGAGTTGGTCCACACGGTTCGCTGCACCCGAGCTGTAACTTTACTCTCACGAACTCCCTGGCATGTTATCTTTCTATTTCAGACCAATTTTAGGGTAATTTTAGAGGCTAGAACAGTCCCTCCTTGTCCTCCTTTAGCTAGAGTATGGTATAGCCGTGGCGACTCTTGATTCGGGCTTACATTGCATTACCCTCAGACAAGAGGGTAATGCAAATGTAAGCCCGAATCAAGAGTCGCCACGGCTAGAGTATGGTACAGATTTGTTCATACGAAGGAAAAGCTTGTACACTGTACTTAGCCTCTACCAGGCTTGAGGGCACGGCTGGAATTATAGTAGAAATCGGCCCGAAATAGAGAGATAACACGCCGAGGGAGTTTAGCCATCCAGTTTACAGTTTGCCGGCCCACAAGCCTGTGGAATATCGCTATGTTCTTTGAAGTCCACTAATCGCTATCTAATAGGTGCCAAGTAGCTAAATTACCCTTTTATTGCTCTGCGACCGGACCGTGACGGAACTGTCAGGAGCGACGGCGACCGTGTAACATGTGACAGGAAGTGTCAAAGGTCACCAGGAAATTTCAAATAACGGTCAATCTCTGCTACTACAATTCTGCGGTCTGGTCAGTGTTTATTTTGATGACAGTATATACTAGTGCCAGTGTACGATGGACCGCGTTTTACGTGTTGGCAGAGATGTTTTCGAGTACGGCGCGCTGCGACAGGGGCAGGCAGATGCTGTCTTGTGGGCCGGCAAACTGTAAACTGGATGGCTAAACTCCCTCGGCGTGTTATCTCTCTATTTCGGGCCGATTTCTACTATAATTCCAGCCGTGCCCTCAAGCCTGGTAGAGGCTACACTGTACTAACGTCAGATCACGTTAGTATTCTCCATTTTGACTGATCATGTGGTTTTCTACTAGCTTTTGACACTACATATAACCTTTTATGGCCGGCCCGCAAAACTTCCATTGTTCCCCCTAGGCTAGAGCCCTTGCAGCTATGGAAAGCTACTCTCCAAGCAGAGGTTTGGGTTCTGGGGGTATTTTTAGTGTGTTTTTAGGCTTTTTTGGGGGGGTTCTCTTTTGCACTGAATTTTTTTCCCACCAAACCCAACGTTGGGTTTGAAAAAAAATTCAGTGCAAAAGAGAAACACCGAAAAAAAGCCTTAAAACACACTAAAAATACCCCCAAAACCCAAACCTCTGCTTGGAGAGTAATGGAAAACAGAGTTTCGGCACTGCACACTAGTGCTGCACAGACTGGACCCAGACGCAAAAGTACCGAAGTAACGGGTTCCTTTCTCAGAGGTGAGGCGGCTTCCCTCCTAGATCTCCAGTGCCGAAGTTACGTCAACACTTGGTGTCCAGTGTTCAGCATGCTAGCACTTGATCGGCAATCAAACCTTGTCTTTAGAAAGGGTACCGAGATGCTGCCTTTGAACTCTAACACTTATATTTTCGACATCGTACCGCCCGGGAAGCAAATTACAATCGGGACGACAATGTGATCGGCAGGATTATACTGCAAGGCTCAGATCCTCACATTTTTACAGGCCTGCGACACTGTACTGTACGCCGCGCGGCCGACGTAAGCACCAGAGGCCCAGTGACGAAATGGTTTGAGAACTCGGCTTCCAGCGCCAAGAGTCACCGAGCACTGGAACGATCTAGTGAGGAACCCGTTACTTCGGCACTGGCTATCCAGTGGTGAACGGCCTCCGAGCGCTGGCTATCCAGTGGTGAACGGCCTCCGAGCTCTGGCAAACGAGTGCTGAGTGGAAGTTAGCACCGGAAAACGAGTGCCGAGTCAAGATTCAGCTCTGGAATTCCAGTCCTGACGGTGTTTCAGCACTGGAACAAAGCCGTTTCTGCACCAGAATTCCAGTGCGGAGCTTTCTTCCGCACAGGGCCCCGAGTGTCGACGCCACTTTCCCCGTGAGTTCCGCACTGGGCGGCCAGTGAGGAACCCGTTACTTCGGTACCCTTGCGACCCAGACCAGTTTTCCACCTGGGTATATATATATACGTAACGTTTATATGTAGCTAAAGCTGCCCGGCGCGGGGAGACCCGGCTTATGTAGGTTGTGCTTGGTGTCGACTTCTTTTCTGCGCCGTGCCTGTGTACACAACAAAAGAGTCCCCTTCCCAGAACCCCCCGCGGTAGCAAAGGTGCAAAAACACCTGCGAACTTCCTTTTCGCTGTTGCTGTTGCCAGTCTTCTGCTGGCTGAGATCGCTGGTTCTTCGTGCGGCTTGAAGGTCAAAAACAGTTTTTATATTCATGCATTAGGCCATTATCTTTCGCTCATTACTTAATAACCAAGAAGTACCAAGGACAGCACCAGTTGTACTTCTCGGGGTAGTTTTGCTACAGTAACCCAGTCGTGGTATGGATATAATTTGTCTTAAAGGTCGAGGGCCAGGACAGGCACATTTCCTCAATTTCCTGTCGTCGGTCTCAGTTTAATATGAGCTAGAACAAAATGTGAACTCTATATACCAGGAAGCTGTTACCACTTTCTATTACTGGCTTGATTAGGAAATGTTCATTCGTATAAGTGGTTCGCTATGGTTGTTGGTAACATTGACGCCATTTAATGCAGGTAATTTTCCCTGTCATGATCAGAAGAAATGCATGATAGATCAAAATCTGTTTTTCAACCACATGCTTGGGTAGATCATTATGCTACTGTGACATAGGTCGCACAGAAAACATGACTTGTGCCACGAGAGTGCGTATTTCGAACTCTGTCTAACTACTAGTATGTCTTCTCATATGCTGGTCATTAACTTAGTATAATCAAGTAGCATTATGTACTATTGCAAAGTAGTGTGCCTGGTGGAGGGGCGAGTAGTGTGAGTAACCCTGCATCTGGACCAGACTTTTAAATGGCCATTGATGCTCACCCAACTAGCATACTATTGGAAAATGGTACAGGTGTTACTCCCCAATGTAATTGACAAAATTTGCAATTTCAGAATGGAAACAAAATGGCACAAGGAGGAAATAAGGAGGCAAATAGAGATGTCTTTCCATCTCTTTCCTCCTTACCGGTAGCTGAAGAAGCTGGTCACATCATTGATTATAACTATGGGAAAAGGTGTGTATACACAATCACACAAACTGCATGAGATTTTCTGTTGCATAGTTATTCTGACATGACCTATATAGACTGGCATAAAATCACTATGTCAGACATGTTATGCTGATGACATTATGTGTACCTACAGGTTTGATACAAGAATTGTTGAGACCGGGGAGGTGAACATAATCGATGAATCACAAGATGACAGGTTTGTATAAGTTAGAGAGATCATTTATGTTTTAAGGTTAAAAGAAGGAAAAACTAGAAAGGTATCATTTGCAAAGCAAATTAACAATTTTAACCATCACATTGTTGAGTTCAACAAACTGCTTTGTTTAGTCCTACTCAAACACATTCAGATATATGGTGAGCAGCCTCTCCAACCATATATTAACTACATATGATAACATAGTAGTAACCCAACACCATAGGGTTATGTAGTCATTCTTTTATTCATGTTGTATCGCAGTATAATGTTGTTATTTTTAAATGATTCTGTAGTATGATGTTGTTATGTGTTTTGGAATCCAGGAAGATTAGTAACTGTTGCTTTTGCTGTCACTTTTGCAAATATGGATATCCTAATAAAGTATCAAGTCTGCTACGTATACAGCACCAGTTACAGCTATCTGGTCCAGGTCATTGATCTTATTTGTAGGGAATGGAAGAAAAAACAAACTGAGCCAAATTATGTTTTAATTCTGCAATTTAAACAGAATGCAATAAACATAATTGCTTCTGCACTACAATAGGACTACATTATAAGACAGTAGTGATAAACACTTAGTCTAGTGTTTGCCTTTTCACCCTTCGCTTAGCTGATGCCTTATAAAATGCTAGACCCTTCAGTTCAGTTTTATCCAGGGCAGCTGATCACACTTTCTCCAAACCACTGTCTCTTCCCTCCATGTTGTTTTTGTGACCTGGTCCAAGTAAAGTGATGACCAATCAGAATTATAACATTATTACTTTTCTTTGCCATCCATGATCTGCTATAGTTCCGACTCTTCTAGCCTGTACAAAGAGCAATTCCTGAAGGGTAACACGGCCCTAAAGAAGAACAGCCTAGATGAAGCTGAGGAGCATTTTGCTGCAGCTCTGAGGACAGTCCATGTTAAAGGTTTGGTATTTGAGTCAATATGTTTACATATGCATGTACATTGTAAATGTATCCACCTTTAAGGATTTTGCAATTTAGTATACACCCATAACATTTAAATACATGTATATTGAAATTAACAGTTACATGTGTATATTATAACACTTGTCTAATAGTATGCCTGCAGAGATAACTTGTCCAACCCCTACTCTAAAACCCCTAGGTAATATCAGCATATCAGTGGTAATAAAACTGTTGAATTTGGCAAAAAAAGGGAATATCATGATGACAGCCTGGCAATTGATTGAATATTTTGCCTCTTTGGCTGGGCATCACTGTTTAAAACTCTTTAACTTTTATTAAAGTTTTTGAGTTTGATCAAGGACGTTCTATCCTGATTGAACGTCCTTGGTTTTAGTTATTTCATGAGATAAAAGATTATTCTGGGAAGAAAGGCATAAGGCAAAGGCAAAGTAATAAAAATACACAAATTCTTGAAGAAAAACAAAAATACACAAATTCTAGTGAAGTAAAAGCAAGATTATCTGTTTTTAAAATACTAGTACATGTACATGTATTTTTGATTTTGATTTTGATTTTATTGTTTGCATATTAACAAGACGGACAGTAATAATATAAAAACAATGATAAAACAGGTGCAGGAGGAGGGGAGAAGCATGGCGTGCTTATACTAGGCCCTCCTCCTCGAAACTATACAAAATTAAATATAATTAATAAATGGAAATAATACAATAGAAAATGGAAATAATACAATAAGGATAATGAAATAATGTATGGTATAAGTTAATGACAATGAAAATAAGGTAATGATAATAATTGGTATGAGTTATAATAGGAGAAAACACTAAATAAAACTACTACAGGGGGCTAGGTTCGTTAATCAGATGGTTTTTCAAAGCTTGTTTGAGTGAGAGAAGAGACAAGGTAGGATTCTTTAGGGCTGGAGTTAGTTCATTCCATAAGGTGACACCTTTGGGCAAGAGAAGTTTTTACTAGGGGGATATGAAAATCGGAACGTTTGCGAGTTTGATAGTTGTGAATCTGAGAACGAAAATTTAAAAAGTCATCAAATGTGTCCGGGAGTTTATGGTTCATATATTGGGCTACGAAAAGTACAAGTTGAAATCTGTTTATGTCGTAAATGTTCAAAAGTCTAAGTTTTTTAAATAGAGGCGAAGAGTGGGTGTAAAAACTAGAACCAGTGGCAATGCGTAGAAATTTTTTTTGCAGAATTGATAAAATTACATGTATTTCTCCTCACAGATCCAACGGCAGAGCAATACCAGAAAGAGACAGCGCCTCTGTTTAAGTTAGGTGAAGTTTACTTGAAGCGAGGTTTGCTTTCAAAAGACGGGGGAGATTTTACAAAGGCTGCTGCACTCTGTAATGCTGCACTGGTGAGATCAGACAGAGATGATATCAAAAAGACAATATATGAGATAGACATATTATTTGCAAAACATGTCTTGAATTTGAAGCAAACAGGAAGACCAATGGATGTGAAGAAGAGCAAAATGCATTTGAAAGAAATTCGTAACTTAGTGGAGAAAGAGCTTAAGAGGATTGATCAAGAGTGTGACCCTTACAGCCTTGATGATGATGATCCCAGAACAAAAGAGGTGGAGAAGAGCAGAGCAGAAGCAATCAAAACATTGTTCCAGACAATTGCTCATCATCGAAGGACATTCATAGCAGGCCTTGTGGATGAGTGCATTGAGGTCATGGGCCCACCACCCTGTAGGTATGCCATGGTAGGCTTAGGTTCACAAGCTACCGGATTAGTGACCCCATACTCTGATCTGGAGTTTGCCATTTTGATAGAAAAGGACACAGAAGCCAATGTAGGGTATTTCCGCAATCTCACTCACTATCTGCACCTCAAAGTGATCAGTTTGGGAGAAACTATTCTTCCAGCCATGGGGATCAAATCACTTAACAACTTCTATTCAGACGACCCACAACTGGACTGGTTCTATGACTCTGTAACACCACGTGGGTTTGCATTTGATGGAGCCATGCCAACAGCTTGCAAAACTCCACTGGGCAAAGGTAAAGCCTGTGAACTTATTCAAACTGCAAGTAAAATGACCAACATTCTAATGGATGACCTTACACTGCATCTAAAAAAAGGCTACCATCTTGCTAGTATATTAGGGAATGTTTGTTTTATCACAGGAGAAAAAATCTTGGTCGACATCTACACTGCCCTGTGGACACGGCAAATGAAAAAGAATGAAAGAGCAGTTCCTTTGTTGATAGCAAACACCACATTGAGGGAAAATGCTCAAACATTTCAAGTCCAACCTTTATCTACCAAATTGCTGGATGTAAAGAAAGAAATATATAGATTTTCAAGTCTTGCAGTATCTTGCTGGGCACTCCTCTGCAACATACAACCAACAACAATCTGGGATACCATTACAGAAATGCACAAGAACGGAGTCATCAATGGTGAAAATGCACATCACTTGATGGTGCTGGTTAGCATTTCAGCAGAATTACGGTTGCAGACATATATGAACAATCATGGTCAAGTGGGAAGTATGTCGGCTTTATCATCTATGTCCGCAGATGAAGATATTGGAGCAAAGCTGGAAAAAGTATTTTACCTATCAAATACAAAACAGCTCATGAGATACTACAACACAGCAAGACCATTACAGGATTTTATGTCACAACTTGACCACAGTCAGCCAACGGAAGAGATTCTATTTGACAATTCTGCCTTGCTACAGGCAGAGGTATACAGAAGCCTTTGTGATTACCAGAAATCAAGGACATGCCACGAACAGGCACTCCAAGATGCACTATCTTTACACAGTGGTAAAAATAAAAGAAAGAAAAAAAGCAATGCACACCCTGTTATTGCTGGAATACTTGCTAATTTGGGTATCGTCTGCCAAGACCTTCATGACCATGAACAAGCAATTGCATATTTGGAAGAGTCGCTGACAATGATGCGGCGTATCTATGGAAGAAATGCTGTGCATCCTCAAATTGCATTGGTACTACACAACTTGGGTAATGCCTATCAGGAGAAGCATGATCTCAAGAAAGCTATCAGCTGTTATGAACAGTCATTGCAAATTATGCGAAAAATTGATGATAAAGACACAGCACACCATATTGCTGCATCACTTAACAGCTTGGGTAATACCTGGCGTAAACTTGGTAATTCCAAAAAGGCCATCAGCTATCATGAACAGGCACTACAGATGTGGCAGATTATCTATGGCAAGTGCACTGCACATCCTGGCACTGCCATGTCACTTACAAACTTAGGTAATGCCTGTTGTGACCTTGGTGATCATAAACAGGCCCTTAGGTATTACAAAAAATCACTAAAAATGAGGCAAAGTGTGTATGGCAAGAATACAGCACATCCAGAAATTGCAACGTCACTTAATATCTTGGGTACTACATGGAACAGACTTGGTGATCACAGAAAGGCCATCAATTTTTATTCACAGTCACTACAGATGAGTCAAATGATCTATGGTGAGACAAACGCACATCCTTCCATTGCCAATTTACTAAATAACTTGGGAACTGCCTATAATAACATTGGTGATTATACCATTGCTGTCAACCATTATGACCAGGCACTACAGATGTGGTTGGATATCAATGGTGAAGAGGAAAGTGTACATGTACAGTCTAAAATCGCCAACATACTCAACAACATAGGTGAAGCATTCGCAAACTCTGGTGATCACAGAAAGGCTGTCAGCTATCATGAACAATCACTTCAAGTGACTTGCAACATCTATGGTAAGAGCACTGCACATCCAGACATCATGACGTCACTGAATGACTTGGGAAATGCTTGGGGAAAACTCGGTGATTATAGAAAGGCTGTTAGCTATCATGAGCAGTCCTTAGAGATGGCAAGAAGCATCTACGGTAAAAACACTGCACATCCTAACATTGCTATGGTACTTGATGACTTGGGTATTGCATGGAAGGAGCTTGGTGATTCTCAAAAGGCCATCAAATATTATGAAGAATCAATACAGATGCTGTATGATATCCATGGAAAGAGCAAAGCACACCCCAGTATTGCTTCAACACTAGACAGGTTGGGTATAGCCTGGTCAAGCCTTAATGATGGTGTAAAGGCAGTTAAGTATGGTGAACAGGGACTACAAATGATGAAGCAGATCTATGGGGATACTACACATCCAGATATTGCAGGGTCCCTCAACAACCTAGGTGGTACTTTCTCGAGCCTTGGTAATCACAGAGAGGCTCTCAGCTACCATGAACGGTCCCTACAAATGAAGAGGAGTATCTATAAGAGCACTGATCATCCTAGTATTGCTACCTCACTTAACAACTTAGGTGAAGAATGGGATAATCTTGGTGATCATAGAAAGGCTGTCAGCTATCATGAACAGTCACTCCAGATGGCTAGAAGATTGTATGGTGATAGCACTGCACATCCAGACATTGCCAGATTACTTATCAGTTTGCGAAATATCTGGGAGAAGCTTGGTGATGTTGAAAAAGCTTCTATGTATAGTGAACAGCTTGAGCATTTGCTTGTTGATAGTTGAAATGGCTAAGGGCATGTAAATGTAATGCATCAAGGATCCTGAAACAAGTAAATTACCACTGAGCACACAATAATTTGGTACTGATATAGTGGAAGCATAGCACCTCAGAACTACAACATCATTGTACATGTCAGTGAGTTACTGGTAAAGAATAGGGAACAACATAAATTTAACATAACATCTCGAGTTCTTTGCCATGGCTTTATTTTGAAATAACTAGATGCACCATCCCCAGCGATGATTTCATTATAACTTATTTGAATGAAAAAAATAGAAATCATATCTAAAGTATTCCAACATATTCCAACCTTTTGTCTAGCTAATTTATATCTGTCTTCTACAAAATATACATCATTACAATTTTGCTACAGTATAAATAGACATGAAAGAGAATTCTAATTTTTGCATGCACAGAAATTCTATCAAAATGACTATCGCTCCTCTTGGACATAAGTCATTGTCATTCCATACATGTTAAATTTATACAACCTGGACGGATCACATATACAACATACAAAACTCATTCCTTAAGGTTACCTTAAATCCATACAAAATACTCAATTTGTGAGAGCTCTACAGCCCTGAGAACTGTACAGGTTACATACAAAACTACTCTCTCTCATAACTGTGCACTACTTACAGTGTTCTGACTTACAACTAAGACTTTACAAAGGTGGTGCACCCACTACATGTGCAAGTGATGGCAATAATACTTGGCAAAATGGAAATCTAAGAGTTAACTGTTGTATTCCACTGTGGTCCTTCTTCTTGTGCACCCTTTTGTATCTATTAGAATAGCCAAAGAGAATAGTTATTTAAGTATGATACAATTAATATATACAATGTACAATACTTGAGAAAGTCTGGGCCATCCCTTGAAAAATGTTATACGCATCTAATATTGAAAGCATAGTACGTCATTTTCTGAGGTAATTCAGAGTTAAAATGTACAATGTTCCTCATGCCACATGCTTAACTGATGATTACAATAATTACATATCCTTAATATGTTTATAACAGGTAGTTTGAGAATTAGTTGACCATGCAATCAAGTTACATGTACATGTATTTATTATAAAGCATGCTGGCTGCAAAGTTGAATATACTTGTCATACAATGTAAACATGGACCTTGTAGTAAAAATTAGAATTATCTGATCAATTACAAATACAAAAAACAAACATACTGTGCATTGTTCCCTTTATAGAAATGTAAAATATTCATACATTTATCATAATATTACTGCAGCAATACTTATACAATGTAATACACATGTACACCAGAATGTCTGTCTCCTTGTGCCACTGTGTAATTTGGTCCTTTGGAAGACTTGTATTTCTCCTCTACATCAAGTATCATACAATTCTCTGAAAAGGACATAAAAATGTTTTAGACATCAGTTGGAAGACTAAAAACTAAAAAAAAGTTTAAATAGCACTAGACACCATGTCACACAGTATTAGGCCTGGACAAGGCTATTTGTCCAAAGGCATTCATTTTTGTAAATGTAATGTTGTCCCAACAGAACTTAATCATTAGTATAGTGTGGTTGGCAACAGCAAGCCCAGGTCTAGTGCTACTAGACAGGTGTAGTATTTTAATGTGCAATTTTTAGAAAAATAGTTGTAATTTCAATGTTTGTCATTGGTGTACAGACACCCAGGAGTGAAAATTGGCAGAAGGAAAAGTCATCTATGGATGTTTAAGTGGTCCTCACAACAGATAATAAACCCTATGGCACCCACCTGTCTCCTGTCTTTGTGTGTTGTGGTACCCTGACGTCGTGACCCCCGATGACCCTCCTTCTGTTTGGACGTATGTCTTTTACTGGGTGATCGTCTCTGGTGCTACATGATGTAAACAAAGGGACAAGTTTTGCAAACACATTCCAAAAGTTTTTAACAAGCGGTTACCATGTACATGTTCCATGCTTAAATGTGTTTGACTCTTGAGATCAGGGTAACCTACCTATCATGAAATCAATAAAAGATGCATTATCATTAACCTGAAAAAATCTTGAAATTTCTAAATATTTTGTCTTCCTTGGGTTCATCCCAAGTCCTACCTTTCTGTGTGTGTCTACAGGATCTTGAGGTCTGTCTTGAGACGTAGAGATCTCCTCCAGGAAACTGGCTGGGACCAGACCTCTCCTGCCGTCTACCTTTCCTTCGTAGAAGCCGTCCTCTCTCAGCGGGCCGAACACCGTCACCACGTCCCCTTCTCTCAGCCCCAGCTCGTCCTCAGGGTAGTGGTTGGGAGAGTTCCTGCTGGGACTGTAGTTGTACACAGCCATGTACTGGGAACAGGCACAGAGGAGAGGTTACCGATCTGACGCTTAGCATTGCTACATGTATATGTAAAATCTAACACAAGTCAGAATAATGTTCTTTAACCTAGTAGTGACATTCTCCATCATTTAGGTGATCAGATGTAAGAGCCCACATATACAGTAATTCTTGGTGACAATACAGACAGTAATTTCACATGCTGTATATATTTTTCATAAATGTGTCTAAATGCATGTATGAAACACAAACTGAACAAAAGAAACACAACTCACCAGGCGAGGTGGTTCTTCTATCACAGGGTCTGAGTACACTGATGTATCCTGCATTAGATAGATAGAAACAAAAATTAACAATGCTCTTAATTTAAATGCTCTTGTTTGGGAATTGGAAAGGCATCCAGACAACAGAAAACAACATAACTGTACCATTATGAGAATGCTTTATTATAATATTCCTGACCTCAGATAGAGCAGAGCTGGGCCGTGATGATGTCAGTACAGACGGGGGTTCCTGCAGGTCAGTGAACTCTACCTCCACCCTGTCAGACAGCTGTCTGTCTGTGGACATGGTCTGTACACTCAGGATGAATGGCACTGTCAGGTCCAACCCCTCCACTAGGGCCTGGGGGGGGGGGGGCAAAACAGTCATGGAGGTTATGATGTACATGTACAAGGTGTTGAACTTTACTGGTATACATGTAACTTGATAAAAGAAAATCAACGGAAGTAAGTAATGAAAAAAAAAATGAAAAGCCAGAAGTAAGCATTATTGTGTCTTACCTTACTGACATGAGAACTGGGAACCACTTGAGTCTCTTCTCCATCTACCTTGATCTGACGGAAAAAGATAATCATTTTAAATATTGAAGTATCAAAAATGAGAGCCACTATGTCTTGGAGATAAAGTTTGTTATGAAGAATGAAGTCAACTAAATGTGGCACTGGCTGGCTGTCTACAAGCTTGCTGTGATGTCCTACAAACTGATGTAATGATGTACCTTTGACCACTTCCATGTACATGTATGCCCTTTACCTACCTTGTAACCCGACACTTGGACCCCATTGCTGTTTCCCATGTCATCAATTGGAGGTAGTGTCCAGCCCACCAGGACAGAAGACTTGCCCACAGCTCGGAGGATCCGCAGGTCTGATGGAGGCTGAGGGGGACCTGGAGAAAAACACAGGTGTGTGATTAGATCACATCTTTCATTGGCCAAAAATTCTGACATGTTTCACCGACATGTACTTTTGTCTACATTATGCTGATATCTACAAGAAAAGTGCAAGGCTGTGATCCTCAAACCCACCTTGTTGGCGTGGTGATGCTGTTGTCTGGGAGACAGTTGACAAAGCATCAGCAGTGCTGGAGACAGTCAGCCAGCTGCCACTAGCACCACTGCCATGTCGGCCTCTTTCTCCTCCAAGGCCATTGGACAGCAAGGAAGCTGGAACCCCATTGGTCAGAGGTACTCCATGTCCATTGGTCAACAGAGATGATGGCATTCCATTGGCAAGACTTGGTACTGCATGTCCATTGGTAAGTACAGGTTCTGCAACCCCATTGGTCAAAGCTAGCTGGGAGCTACTTTCATTCAGTGGGGGTGGGTACCAGTTCGGTCCATGTGACCTGGATAATGCATCTGGTGATGTAGAATTGGTCCCAGATTGCTTTGGACTTTGACGAGATCTGTAAAAGCACAGATACCAATTAATAGCAATATTGTCTTGAAGCCTTACCATGCTAATTGTACAATCTCCTGGTAATGACTTTTCAACACTTGCTGTGGACAATTCTTATTATCACAAAAAACACAATGAAGTATCGACTGTCAAGTAAGACGGTTTTAATGTCTTCTTTCTATTAATATAATGCTTGATTTCATAAATGATAAATGGGTTGACATATCAATGACATACACAATACACCCATCCTCGCAATGACCTTTACAAAGTAAGGAAATTATAATATACAAACTCCTTGCCTTGATGAGGTGTGAGACCGTGTCCCACTACGGTTTGGGGTCTTCTCCCTGCCATGTTTGTTCCTGTCACCGTCTGAGCTGGGAGAAGTCCGAGGCCTCCTGGTCCTGCTCTCAGGAGAATCCAGCTTAGGGAGAGGGAGGGGCAGGAACGGCACTGCAGAAAACACAACTTCCTGTCAGTCAACTTCACAAGTATAGAGGGGTATGGAGTCATAATCAAACTCTGTGTACATTGTATCTTTTTTAATAGTGTTGTCTTTGTCATCTCAAATCCCTCCCCTCTGACACAATTTTTTCTATCCATGCCTTCAACTGCATCTACAATTCTGTCAGGTCAAATTTCCTTCAAATCTTGTAAATGGGTTGCAAAATAATCAAACTGAATAGACTGTTGTTTGACTCACCATCATAGTTATTGGTGTGTGTGTCCTGGAGGGTCTGGTGCAGCTCTAACATTTGCTCAGGGCTGGACTGGCCTGCTGTCAACTGTGGAAATAAACAGTCAAGATTCAGTTAATTAATTGTTAATTAAGCAAGCAAGCAACTTTATCTCTCCAGTCCTCAACAGATCCTCATCATCATCACCACACTGTACATCCTTAACCACATGCATTATTACAGGTATGCATTGTTGACCTGAAACTTGACAAAAGTACATGCAAGAAACAAAAAATCCAGTGTACCTTTGGCCTCTGTTTCCTTCTCCTTCGTACAGGCACCAGGTCCAGGTCATCTTTGATGGCATGTCCATTATCCAGCCGTGTGGGGAGAACGTCAATGTCATCCAACAGGGGGGATGACCTGGTGCCAGCACTGGGGGCAGGGGAGGTAGATGCCCCAGTGGTGGGGGTACTGTGTCGAACCATCTGTCTTCTACTGATGTCTGAAGCTCGACCACTGTCAGCCTGGTGACAGACAACAACATACTGAATGAGTTTTAGCAAGACATTAGGGCAACCCTGGAGAGATTCTGTGTTATGGAAAATGAAAGGGGCTACGAGACAGCCTCATGTTCTGTGATGATACGACAGAAAAAGGGAAGTCGGCAAAGACAAATTTGAAGTAAGTTACATGTAGGTAAGACATGAGCCACTTAAGTTATTCCATCTCTTCCCTCTAATGTCAAGACAAACTGGAACAAAACAATGATGTTACTGGGTAACACCTGGATAACTCTCCCTCCAGCTGTACTTGTAACTAATCATAGCACAATTATATATTAGCCTGTGAAGGAAACCCATCTTGACCAGCTAAGCTAAGTAATGTGGAACAGAAGGTGTGAACCCTTCACCACAGACCACCAGCACCAACAACAATAACAGGATGTGCATATATATATAAAATATGTATGTACTTGTTTGTTTTGCATAGCTGGGAAGCTGCCTTTAGGCATAACACACCAGTTTTGTACATGCTTGAAACAACAAAGCAGATCCCAACACCTGCAGCAAGGAAAGCAACCATGTCACCATTTCCACCTCAGAAAAAACAGACTCAAGCTAAACCATACTGAAGGACAAAACACTGCTAAAAAGGAGTGTTCCTTAGCTCCCCTACACCAAGCAGTTCTCCTAAGCTATCATATAGCTACCAAAAGGTGAGGAGAGTTGAAAGTCTTTATCCCTGCACCAACAAAGACAATGTACACTGTTTCATGTTGACCCAACACACCTGGCCAGAGCTTCGTTCTGAGGATGACCCGAATGCTGCATAGCAACAGAGATTCCCCATGCTCCCAGAGATGGGGCTGATGGGGTCATCATACTCCTCTAACATCTCTGATGCCAGGTCCTCAGCTGTATGGACTATTGTTACATCAGGGTCCACGGAGCGCTGGAGCTCATCCAGCAGGGTCATGATCATCCTGTCTCTCTCACGACACTTCACACGCATGCGAGACACCTTGGCCTGAGGAACGTCCACTCGTTTTAGTCAACATTGGTCTGATGTCTGATTGTCTTTAACAGCCACCACAAACAGAATTTCTACAGAAAATGAATTGCACACCTTCACAACCCGACACCATCTAAAAAAGTTTTCTTGACACTTTCTGATACCTGTAAAGGAGCCAAGGCTGTCCTGACCTCAAGGTCAATAATACTGGAGACCTGTAAGGACATGTAGCATGAGATTATGTGGGGTTAAGGACACAAGTAGATGTCTTATCAGGTTGTTGACACTTGGCTAACATGAGGTCAAGAAGATGACAGGAGGATGAAGGGGAAAATAGAAAATACTGCTTGAGGAAAAAAGGCTCAGAGTAGTACAATGTGTCATGTATTCCTCTTCTTTACTTGACCTGTGGTTAAAACAACTGGATACAACTACACTGCAAAATCAATGTTGAGATGGTGAAAAATTTAAACTAAAACAACATAAAGGTACAACAGGTAAAAACAAATCTGGTGCTGAATGTGGCAAAAGGCTGGGAGTACCTGATGAATATTTGACTCCAGATGGCAGACACACTTACATCCCAGCTGCATGGCAGCATGAGGGGAAGGGAGGGGTATTTCATCAGTATCATACAAGAACATTATAATAATATTTTATTGTCTCATGTATATACAATATAAATGACCCACACATGGTGTCAGCCTGACATGAGCAACCATTACCTCATCCATGTCAGCTGTGGTGTCTGTAGGAGCAGTAGGAGTTCTGCTGGACAGATCCTTCATGTTCAGGTCAGCAGGGAGGGTGCGGGTCATCATGTAAGGGGAGCCTCTACTGGGATGGTCTGTGTCATAGTCACTGGTGGGGATACCGTCCATCTAGTGGGGGGAGGGTAGCAAATAATCAAAACACGTGACAATTATATACAGGTTAGTGAATTTTATCCTGTACATTTGAATTTGACCTGGACAGCAGAGATTTCAGACTTCTGGGAAGTATGCAATCCTTGGCTTCCTGAATTCCCCCCATGTCGACCACAAATTTATGCTGGCTCCTGGCCACATTCTGAGGCCTTTGACCCTCTGTCATTCTGCCTGTCAATCTGCTGTCAAACTACTCTGTCCACACAAACATTTATAAACAAATCCACAGCTCAGCCACCCAAATCTTCCCTATACTTCAAAAAATGATAGTTAAGAAAAACCTACCCTCTGTTTGAGGTCAGAGATGGCATCCAGCCTGGCCCTGAGATCTTCCTTCTCCTTGTCGACTGCCTCGATGTCCCGCAGGTGTGCTCGCAGCGTGGCCACGGTTTCCCGCAGCAGGCTGATCTCCTGCTCCGCCTTCTGCAGCTTCTCTGCCTTCCTCAGCAGCTGGTCATTCTAAATGATAAAGAACAATAATCATAAAAATTAACAAAACTACTATTTTGAGAATAAGTCCTGAATTGTCAAACAAAAGTAAACCCAATGGCACTGTAAAAGCATGAAAAAGGCAGATACAGCAACACATGTAAATGTGACAAGGAAGAATATGATACCTCCTTCTTGAGCGTGTCCTGTAGTTTCTGCAGCTCGGCACACCTCTGTTCCAGCTGCTGCAGCCGCGCCACCTGTGCCTGCAGGCCGTCCTTCTCCTTCTGCAGCTTCCGACACTGTCTGTCTGCCTGCTGGGCTTCACCCTCCAGCTTCCTGTTCTGTAAGAACATCAACAGAATGATGTTACAGAGGTTTGCACATGAAGCTGATTAGCAACATTGAGACCGGAAAGTGCAAAGTGCATTGAACGTAAATATGCTGCATCCATTCATATAGCAGTCCTGTCCTTTGTTATGACCAATAAGAGAATTGCTTTCTATCTATCCTAGAGCATTTTTAGATGCCTTTTTTTCCTACAGCTTTGTAACAGGGGCTTACATCTTTGGGGAATGGAGTACAAAGAAACTGATTTTGCAGTCTTGCATTCAGTTAAGATCATCTCATACCTCTGTTCTCAGCCTGTGGATCTCCTCATCCTTTTGTCTGATCTCTCCTTCCTTCATTTGTGCCTGGGCCTTGTAGTAGGTCACATCGCTGTCACGTTCTTTCTTCTCCAGCTCACGTTTCAATCGTTCCACCTGAACAGAACAGAGTTCAATAACTTGTCATCTAGCCTAGGGATAGTAATAATGATTTTTCTGTTCACAAAAAATGTATATGCAAAACACTAAGAAACAGAGAACATGTTGTGCTGCTTCACAACTCTTAAATGAAGGCATCAAATGCAATTTAAGGGCAACAAAGATTCGTCATCATTTGATACTTACAGCTTTTCAAATAGCCCATAAACAAGTTACATAAAGTATCTTTTGGGTACTGCCCATGAATAGCCTAGGATACAAACATGCAACTGTTTTCTGTCAGCGACATCACATTTTGCTTCACAGATATCAGTATGCTATGGGATAGAATTTATTCAACTTACTACATTAAAAGACTGACCAGAAAATTCACTTTGAAAATCCAGTTTAACTGTTGTGAAATTGCATTGGATGCTTAAATGTTGACTACAAAGAGTCACTGTTTTTACTAAAATTTTTTGCATTTACCCAAAGAACTGTTCCACTGTCATGTTGTGTAGTAGATTTCTAAACTCAGATAAATGATCTTCCTCACCTCTTGTTTCAGTTCCCGACACTGTTTCTCCAAATTCCTCAAGTAGTCATCCTTCTCATGGAGTTCCTTTTCCTGACCAAGTACCTGGGCATCCAAAAAAGACCCAAACTTAAGGTTACAATTTGTCAACTATCATTGTAATCTGTATCAAAGTGAACATCTAGAGAAACAACATCCAATGGTTATGAGAAATGTGTGAAAATGTCCAGGCCTTTCTTACCTTTTCTCTCATTTGTGCAGAACTTGCCATGGCATCTTCCTTGGCCTGAAAATAAGTGCAGAAAATACTTTAAAAATCTGTTAACACACTTCCATTCAGGATAATCAGGTATTAGTATGATAGGTGTTGAAGCTTCAAGCACAAGTACAATGGAAATTGATGTTATGTTCAGCACCAAGGACACATACATCATAAGTTAGATGCTTATTAAGATATGACTGTGATTGTTAGGCAACCCTGACATGTATCAGTAGGATACAGATTGGTAGGTGCTTGATATAAGCTCCAAGCACAAGTACAATGGGGAACGATATCATGTTCAGCACCAAGGACAGCATCATAATAGGTTAGATGCTCATCAAAATGTGACTATAACTGTTGGATAACTCTGACATGTATTAGTAGGATGAAGATAGATTATAGGCGTTTAATATAAGCTTCAAGCACAAGTGCAATGGGGAACGATATCATGTTCAGCACCAAGGACAGCTACACAGTAGGTTAGATGCTCATCAAAATGTGACTGTAACTGTTGGGTATCTCAGACATGTATTACTAAGATGAAGGTAGATCACAGGTGTTTGATATAAGTCTCAAGCACAACTACGATGGGGAACGATATCATGTTCAGCACCAAGGACAGCAACAGCACAACTTTGGTGCTCATCAAAATGTAACCAATAAAGTTGTTGTCCACCTCCTAATATAGTTATTCTTGTATAGTTTACATGGATCAACATGTAGTGGCTGCATTTTCAAAGATTTTGACTCACCCTGAGATCTCTCTCCAGCTGTCTCTGATCCTCACGCAGCTTCCGTAGGTCTTCTTCCTTGTCCTGAAAACACAACGTTTTTCCAAAATACAAATGTAAGTTTCTTTGATGTAAATGTCCATTCTACCACTATCTGGACAGAATTTACACCTTGTGTAGAAAAGAAGCATTAATGAAAGAGTGACAAGATATCACCAGGACATGGGGTACTAGATGACATAGTGTCAGTAACAGTGAATGATCTTTTACATGGAAATACACCAGGATAAGACATATCTGTAATGTTAAGCTTGGGGTAAGTTCAGTGGACACTGAAACATAGAAAGTGCAATGACCAAGTGAACATTAGTTATAGACTAATGTAAATAGATGGTGAAACTGTCAAAATGCTCTGGATGATATCCAGTTTCTGTGGGTGAAGGTGTACAATGCAGGTTAATGAACAGTTATACATTGTATAAACAATGTCAGCAATGTTTGATAGTACTGCAGAGATACGTGTACAAATGTAAGAGAAGGGGTGGGGCAACCTTTGGCCTATGCTCTCACCTTGGAAGGCTGGACCTTGTCCATGAAGGGAAATGTAGGCATGCAAGTTACATAAGCCACATGCAGTTAGTACACAGTACAGGTCATTTCGACATACAGTTCTCAATGTCTTTACACAGTAGTGCATCTTTGTAAAATCAAGTTTAGTCAATCTTTCATGGTGATATATAATAACTTTTACTGTAAATCCTGAAACCTTTGCGGTGGTGTTATTTTCCCATTGACAAGCTGATATCTCCACCACAGACATGTACTACAGAATTGTTGTAACTTGATCAAAACACTGTGAAAACCTCCCTTTCTCTCCTAACCGCAAAATGAAAAACCTTACAAAAGTTTCATAATTTACAGTACACTGTGGAGAAAGAATGAGTAGAATTGTGATAATTGCAGGCATGCAGTTAGTGTGCAGTAATGATGGTGACACTGGCTCAGGACTCACTCTCAGGGTCTGTTCCAGGTACTGGATCTCCTCCCTCCCGTGTGCCAGGTCTCGTGCATGTTTCTGATTAGCAAATCATCACAGATATATAATGAAGATTGGTTTCATTCAAGATTATTCCCTTTACACATTTAACAAGAGGACAGTCAGAACCATTTTGGACACATGTTTTGAAGTCATTAGCTGAGGCTTTTTCTTTCAGAATTTTTTTGATCATCACTGTCATCCCTTCATCCCTTTATTTTTGGGGGAAAAAGCCCTGACTGTCCTCCCAAACTTAAGGAATAGGCTAGCCATAGATCAATGTGGAAATCAATTCAATAATCTAGTACATAATATGTATATGTGGTATTAGTTATCATTGATACATAGATGAGTGTACAGAAGTATACAAAGTTGAGGTCTACTTGCTGATACAGGAAGCCATTTGCACCCACCTTGATATCCTCCTGTAGCTGTCTCTCTGCCTTACTGACATCCTGCAACTTTCCTTCTTTGTCCTGCAAACAAATACATGCATTGTGAAACCCAACTACAAGTTTGAAAAGATGCTACTAAAAGCAAAGTTGTAAAAGTAAAGGTATCAACACTCAATCTTTTTCACAGGGTTGCCTGTTCAAATGAACACATTGATCCCAGCAATGACACCAAAGTCATGATTGATAATACATGTACTTGATAGCAAAATGCCTTACTAGCCCTGAGGTTATCGATACACAACTGTCAGGAGATATATACTGTGGTGTGGTCCTCTTTTAATAATTTTTGTTGCATATCATACTTATTTTCCTATGCATTCTTACCTTCACTTCTCCTTGTAAATCTTCTAATGCCTTCTGAAGATCCTTCAGAGCTTCATCTTTCACCTTGACGAAAGTAAGAAAAAGTGTTAAAGGTAAAAAGGTAAAAAAAACTGTTCTTCATATTCAGCTTCCAACTAGTCCAACTACCGTCAGATTGAATATGACATGTTATTGCATACAAAATAATAACTGTTTTTCAGTTCCATTTGTTTTGTTTTTATTTGACAATGGTCCTTTTCTTGACTACATAATTGGTGTTTAAAAAGAAACACCCCAAACCTGGTTGTCCTTCTGCAGCTGTTCAATAGTTTCCTTTAACTCCTTCACATGTTGCTCCTCAGCGCTGTCCTGGTCAGGTTGACTCTGCAGGGGAGGATCGTCTGCCAAGCTGTTCTCCTCGCTCCTGTCATAGAACCGCCTGCGTCTGGTTCCGACTGGAACAGTGAAGCCGCGGGACAGACCCTTACGCTGACGGCGATTTTCAACCCACTTGTTGATTTGGTCCTGGACAGATATGAGATTATGACTGTAAATTCATTTCGTTTCACAGGGACTTAATTATGCAGAAGAGGGAAACATAAGTCTTTGTGGTGTTCATGGGTGAAACAATTGTGGAGCACAGTCATTCATTACTGTCACATTGGAAATGTCTAGTGGTATTTGCAGTGTCATACAATGTATTTTTGCAGTGGAAAGGTAGCGTAAAGAAACCACCACAAACATTTGAAGATTTACAGTAACAACTATATACATGCATATGATTGTATTAGTATCCATAAATTCAGGAGTGAAGGGAATTCCAGACCTACACATTAGAATACAAGAACTCGTAATGTAAAAGTAGATGACCTACCTGAGGGTCAAACAGTCCAGTAGGAGGACTAGCTGTAGTGTCCAGACTGCTGTCTGTCCCCAGTAGTGTCCTGCCCAGCCCACTGTCCGGCAGGCTCCTGTCTCCCGGGGACTTCAGCGGACTCTGGGCCTCAAACGCTGCTACACGAGCTGCTACAGCTCCTTCCTCTGGGAGGTCTGACCAAACAGAAACACAAATGTAAACTTCCAGCCTCATATTTCTTCAGAAATGTTTGGGTGGGAAATCTGGACTTCTGCTTAGATCTATGTATACAATTATTTAAGTGTGCTTGTACTGATTGTTTGTTTTTCATGTTGTACAAGTGGCAGTATTAATTTTGTTTGATGCATTAATGTATGTATGTAAAAAAAGAAGTACTGCCACTCAATGCAGCAGACCTTCTGCAGCACTATCAACACTACTTCAGCACTACTATCAAACTAACTCTACAAGACTGTCTCACCTTCCCCATCCTGGTCTGTATCAGAGCCAGCGTCGTCCTGTGGGGAAGTGAAGGTCGCGACCTTGGCACCCACAGAACCCCGCTGAGGGAAGTCCTGGGGAGGGGGGGTGGGAGGGGAGGTCCGTATGGCAGGTACCGCCCCGACCTCTGACCCTTCTGACTCAGTGGTCTGCGCCCGCGGGCGGACGGGAGGCGGGGCAGAGCTGGGAAGGGGCGGAGCTTCAGCCTCACTGTCCATGTCTGACACGTCACCCATGGTATGATGGGATAGCTGGGAGCCTGAGCGTGGTCGTAAGTGTGGCGGAGTGGAGGTAGGGAGGGGAGGGACGCCGCGGGATACAGGCTTCTGTCGTAGCTTTTGTTCCAGAAGATTCCCAATGTCCACATTCTACAGGGAGAAACATACTCAGAGTTACCATGGAATACAGTTAATTTTTCAGGTGCAGTGACAGATACTTGATTCAGCTAACCCAACATGCACAAATAGATTGTGACTAACGGTGACTGAGAGAACCTAATGTTCTTCAGTAATGTACCTTCAATGATGTGTGAAGGTGCCAGATGGTGCCACCTGTTACCTCATGAGCCTGAAGGTTCAATGGGGACTGAATGTTTGACTAAGTTAGTTAATTAGTGAGTGAGTGAGTAATTATGGTCATTAGATTTTTAGTGAATCAAAATAAATATTTAGTGGTAATTAATATGAAATATGAAATCCATCTCTGATCAGCAAACATTGTCAGCCCACACACAGACAACACGGGGATCAGGATCAATCAGGATCATCATGCTGAGGACCAGCACAACTACCTTCATGGGATCCTGCACCGAGGACGGGGATATTTCATCCTCCTCCACCATCACCAGTTCACAATGCACAAGCCCGTCTGGGACGGCCCTCATGAAGGCTTCGCCCGCCGGGAGAGCGTTTACCAAGTTCTGTACTTCCTGGTCCAGCTGCTCCGGGCTCATCCTGCCGGCGGTGTGGGGGGGCCGCGCCGCGCTGGACGCAGGGCGGGGGATCTCTGGTTCCACCACCACCGCTCGTCCATACTGGTCTACAGCACCGTCCATCCAGGACAGATCCGTCTGTGTGCGCTTGTTACGAACATCTTTGACAGGTCCGGCTAACGTGGCGTCCTGGATAGACACATGAAATACCAATCTGTCAGGGCTCCTGTCTAACACTATGTCAGTGTGTTTCCCTAAAGTGTTGATGTCAATTTTGAACACCGATCACTAGGACTAAACCAAGTACAGTACCTTAAGTGTTGGATAAGTTTTCCCCACAGTAGATCACAATCCGAGTCAAACATCAGAAAAATCAGACTTTTGTTGGCACAAATCCCAGTAGAAGAACAGGATATACCCGTATTCTATGCACCTGCCTACAGCCTGTTATTATCAGCTTCAATGTCCCCACACTGACGTCCTCATTTGCATATCAAAACACAAGGATTTCAAGGAGGCTCAAGTATCTCATTTGCATGTCAAGCCTTGTTGGTTAAACACTTGCTCTAAAAGGAACTAAGACTGAGGTTGGAGGTCCTTACAAATACACCAGCTGTTTTGACTCAGGCATGGGTTTCAGGTTAATTTCTAGTGGGCTAAATTGGCAGCAGTAAGGGCAATACCCATAAAACACCACTTCTCGTATGTTGTTGTTCCTAATTCTCCTTGACAGGAACAACCCTAATCAATCTGCCAACATGCTGGGGTTCCCTAGGTAACAGGACCCTTGATACAACACAGGGTGTTATCATTAGTCTATTAATATTGCTCTCCTGGGAATCAAAGATTTAACTGGATTAATTTATATTTAAAGGATATGTCCCATGGGAAAGACTTGTCAAATTCATCACAAATCTTTTATTGTATAGTAGGTATGTGCAAATGAATGGAATTTGTCTTTATCTTTCTGAAGTTTACTTTTTGCAATTAATGGAATGCTCACTTTTTAGAATCTGAGGAAAATTATACTTTGTCAAAAACTCACCCTCAACTTGGCCTTCAGCTGATGCACTTGAGCCTGCAGTTCCTCATGTTCCTGCTGGAGGGCCTCATAATTCTGTGGAATGATCATAGTGACCATTAGTCAGTGGCATAACTTATAGTCAATGGCAGGAGATATTTGTAGGATACATGACAAACTTGTATAATAGCGGGTAAATGTTGATACACCTTTTTCACAATGCCAGAATATTCCAGAGATCAGTTTTGATGCAACAGCCAAATCAGCACAGTTGATGATTTTCTGTTGTAGCTAAATTTCTGGACATTCTTTACTATAAAAATATCATCAAAGTCACTGATTTAAAAATTTTGTTGCTTAACATCTATTACTGCGTAATATATAACACAAAAAACCTACTAATTAGGTTTTCCCAAAATAGAGATAAACAAAAACACATGCAGTCTGTGTTGACACTACCATGCAGGCTACAATGTACTAGTATGTAGAAAGAAAGTGGACAAAAGACAAACTTGTGTTAGTTCCTGAATGATAAAAGCATTTCATTCAGTTTTCAAAGCCATGCACTGCCATATCTACATTCCTCTACTGAGCAAGCTTTTCATCACATCAGCTGACTCTTCTCGGTCTTTACAAGTGTTATTAACCTTAACCCTGCTGCACCAAAAGATTACAGTTGCAGTTAGCATGGGAAGGTTAAACTTAAAGAGTGGAAAGCCTTCCAAGATCTATCCACACATGGCCATGTTGAGTTCTACACAAAAGCTGGCATGTTAGAGAAATGTAAGGAAAGTTATTATTAGTGTGAGTAGGTGGTAATGAGAATATATGATGGTAATGAGATATTTCTCTGATGTATCCTGAAGTGCTGCACCTTTTGGAGCTTTGCAGCTTGAACATCCATCCTGGATCTTTGCCTCGAATGCTGAGAAAAAAGATTATCAATATTGCACAATGAACTCTGGTAACAATAATTATTGTATTTGCATGCACCTGTACCTGTACACTTATGTCTACTTTTATATCAAGCTACTAGTGACAGAGGTCTGCTTATGAAGCTTAGCATTATGCCACCCAGAGGCATATAATATTTTATCTAACAAATTTCCGGGGATATACCTGTTAGGTTTTTCTATGTTGTCGAGTGAGATTCAAATTTTAAATCATTGTATCATTGAGCTAATGTGATATTTACCTGTAATCTGTCCTTGAGCTGCTCCTCCTCCTCTTCAAGGTCATCCAGCTTCTCCTCTGTCTCCCTCAGGAGGGACACCTGCACAGGTGAGAACTTCACTTCAGCAACCATTCAAGATATCTTGTCTCACCTTTACCTTTTAAATAATATATGCCTTTGGAAGACTACTGAATGCATTCAATTTTTAGACAAGGTCGTTTAACATTTTGCTGTACCTGAGCCTTTAGCCTGTCCAGCTCCTCCCTGGGCAGCTGTACCATGTCTGCGCTGTCCTGTTGCTGTACCTGGGCCTTGAGCCTGTCCAGCTCCTCCCTGGACAGCTGTACCATGTCTGTGCTGTCCAGTTGCTGTGCCTGAGCCTTTAGCCTGTCCAGCTCCTCCCTGGGCAGCTGTACCATGTCTGTGCTGTCCTGTTGTTGTGCCTGAGCCTTTAGCCTATCCAGCTCCTCTCTGGGCAGCTGTACCATGTCTGTGCCATCCTGCTGGTATTCCAGTTCATCCAACCTGTCCAGAAGAGCTTGCTCACTTCCTTCAAGCTCCTGTACCCTCTGCAATAAGCATAAAGCACAGATTTTCCAATAAGATGCAGGAAACTGTTATAAGTTTTCATTGCATGTGGGGATTTGTCTGGCTTGCTCCAACGTTTTGCTATCCAATGATTAAAAAACAACATTCAAATGGAAGAAATCAAATCAGTGTGCAAACTAACCTTTTTGGCTTCTTGCAATTCCTCCTCTAACCTTTTCTGTTGACTAGAGGGTGCTAGTTTCTGTAGAAACCACAAGGGGGTGAGGGTATTTTGTAAAACAGCAGCATGTGGTTAAAAGTAACCATATCAGATGTAAGCATTTGGCTTGATTAATAATATATATCATGACTTTCCTTAGCACCTAACTATAAATTGTAAAACCCTTTCAGTGTATGATTTCTTTCTTTTTTTTACACTAAGGTCATTTGATAATAAAAAAAACTAAGCCATTCACGTGAAACCAAGAAACAACCTCAGTTGTACCTGTCTATCAGCAGACTCTGCTCCCATCTCCATCTCCAGAATCCTCTCCTGCTGCTGAAGGTCCTTCTCCTCCAGGTCCAGAACCTTCTGCTCCAACTCCTCCTTCTCCTTCAGTAGCTGGGCTACCTTCTCATCCATCCCACTGGATTCAACCTCCTGTAACCTGGCTTTAAGTTCTGCATTCTCTTTCTCAACACTCTCCGGGACAGTGTGCTGAGGTTCAGCAGTTTGTTTCTTTGCTTCTGCATTCCTGAGATCAAGGATCCTCTTGTTCAATGCAGTTTCTGCCTCCTCTAACTCCTGTATTCTCATTTTTAGCTCAGAATTCTCCTTTGCCAGACTATGTTCTTTGTCTTGTTGCCCACTTCCGTCTGGATTTTGGAGCTCCTGCAATCTATCCCTAAGCAACTTCTCTGACTGCTGAAGTTCTTGAACTTTCTCTTCTAAGTCTGACTTCTCCTGGATTACTTTTTCTAGTAGCTCATTTAAGTCGTCCTCATTTTCATTTGACTTTGTTCTTGGCTCCTCAGTATTGTCCAAGTTGCTCATTTTCTGCTTCAAAGAGACTTCTGACTGCTCCAGCTCTTTGATCTTGTCTTTAAGGTTTCCATTTTCTTGCTGCAGTTCATTAACCGCGTCCTTCAGTGCTTTTTCTGATGTCTTAAGATCTTCCAGCTCCTTCTCCAAGGACCCATTTACCTCATTGAGAATCTCCACTTCCTGCTTCAGGTTTTCTTCAGAACCTTGGAGTTCCTTGACCTGCTCTGTCAGGGATGTTTGAGATTCCTCTAAGACTTTACATTTTTCTGAGAGAAGTTGTTCTTCTGCCTCTAGTTCTTTGCACTTGTTCTCCCAGTTGATGTGTTGTTGTTCTAATCTAGCACTCTCTGTGAGAGACTCAGCTGCACTCATCTCCTCTGTACCCCGCAGCTTCCCAATCTCATCTGCCAGAGAGTCACCTTCTGTTTCCTGGTCTCGTACCGACTTTTTCCTCTCCTTCTTCTTTTCCAGATCACCGTCATCAAAGACCACCCCAAACTCAAAAAGCTGCTCCTTGAGTTCCTCCTCAGATGTCTCCAGCTCAAAGATTCTTTCCTTAAGTTTGACTTGCGTGAGGTGAAGAACTTCAATCTGGTCCTTAAACCCAGCCTCTCTCTCACTCATGATGGTGTCAGCCTGTCCCAGTGTCTCTCGGAGAGCACCTTCTGAAGCTTCCAGGTCTGCGATTCTTGCCTTCAGCTGTGTCTCTGTTTCCTCCGAGTCGATGAGCTGACTTCGCAGCCACTGTAACTCACTGCCCGGGTCAGTTCCTGGATCCTCAGGCTGACTGATGGAACTGACCTTTCCTAGTTTCTCCATCAGTTCTTCCTCCGACTTCTCCAGGATCTCAACACGTTCTTGAAGTGCCAATTCTGAAGCTTCCAGCTCAGCAATTCTTTCTCTCAGGTGAGCCTCTGTTTCTTCAAAGTCACTCAACTGCCTTCTTAACGACTGCATATCACTTTCTCCTTCACTGCTTAGATCATGTAGCTCTGACATATCATCAGCTTTTTCAGACTTTTCTGTGAATTCTTGTTCAGATTTCTCCACAGGCTGAGGTAGAAATCCTTCTAAAGCTTCAAGAGCAGCAATTCTTTCCTTATGTTGCCTTTCAGTTTGTTCAAAGTCTCCAACTTGTTTTCTTAGCTGTTTTATCTCACTTTCAAGCTCTGAGTCACTACTCTTCTCTGCAATGGCATTGGCTTTAGAAAGCTTGTCCAATAAGTCTTTTTCAGATTTCTCCAGAATTTCAACTCGTTCTTGGAGGGCAGCTTCTGAAGCTTCCAGCTCAGCAACTCTTTTTTGCAAATGGATTTTTGCTTCCTTCAAGTCACGGTCTTGCCCTTGGTCTTCCGGCTGAGATTCAGAGTGTACTTTCTCAAGTTTTTCCATCAACTCTTGTTCCGACTTCTCCAGTGTCTCAATACGGTCAGCCAGCTTTGCTTCTCTTTCTGTGGAGTCTCTTGCAGCTTCACCAAGTTCATCGACTTTAGTGTTTGCACACTTCAGTGACTCCCCAAGTTCCCTCGCCTTCTCATTAGCACACTTCAAGGATTCAGTCAGCACTGTTTCCTTTGCCTCTGCATCAGCAAGTCTACTCTTCAACTGGGATTCAGAATCTTCCAACTCCTGGATTCTTTTTGACAAGGACCCGTCATCCTCCTTAGCTTCATCTCTCTCCTGCTTTGTTTTTGCCAGTTCTTCTCTTAACTCCCTTTCAATTCTCTCCAGTTCCAAGACTCTGTCTTTGAGAGTTTCGGCTGTCGATTTTGCTTCCTCCAGTTCCAGCTGAAGTCTTCTTTCAGACATCTCCAGTTCTTTGATGGTTCGTCTAGCGTGGCTCTCACTCTCACTTTCAGTACCAGACTGTCCGATTCCCTCCAGTTCCTGAACACGCATTCTCCAGTCCTCCTCGGCTGCCTTCAGGTCTGTTATCTGGACACGCAACTCTTCTGACTCTCTTGCCATCCCTTTGTTTTCTTCTGTAAGGTTTTTCTGTTGGACTTCTAAGTCCACCACTTTCTGTAAGAGTTCGTCCTTTTCTGCATCTTTCAACAAAGCTAGCTGCTCCTTGTACGTTGCTATCGTTACCTCTAGTTCTTTAATCTTCAGTTTTAACCGCTCCTCTTCCTGCAACAGCTGATGGTGTTTCCCCAACAGAGGGCAGTTTACTCTCCTACATTCTGCAGGATCAACTCCAAATATGGCACGATCCAGCCCATCACCTATTGCCTTCTGATGGGCCAGTTTCTGTTCAAACACCATGGTGGCCATCTCCAGGGTACCAATAGCACACTCCTGCTGTTCTTGGTCCTCTTTAAAACTTTCATAGTCCTCTGGCTGATCTCTCCCCTCCTGTGCTCTGGACAGGTTAGCACTCAGCAGATGTATGGATGTTTCCAGCTCAGTGTTCCTGGTACGGAGGTGAGACTCACACTTTTTGACCCGTTCCAGCTCCTCCTGAAGGGCATATTTGTTGGCTTCCAGCTCACGGATCCTCTTCTTGGCACTCTCACTGACGTCTGGCCAGAAGTGAGAAAACCCATATCCAACTTTGAGTTCTTCTGGTTTCTCGGGGAGAGAACTACTTTGACCCTGACATTCGGAAGACTTAAGGGTATCTTCAAGTTCTCTGATCTTTTGCATCAACCTGACATTCTCCTTCTCAACATGTGTAACAACCTCTCCCTGTCCTTCTGTCTGTACATGCTTTTCCTCCAAAATCTTTGGAATCCTGATTGGAAGAATAGTAATCCTGGGATCAGGGTCTTCCTTCTTTGCTACATTTACTGTCTGTGTTTCTTTGTCTTCCAGAGAAATGTTTTCTTTTGTTGGTATGGCATTTTGAGTGTCCTCTAGAGTATCTGTCTGTGTCTCTTTCTCCTCAGACACCTTGCTAACCGTGGCAGATGAATTACTGTCCCTCTTGAACTCCCAGTTCTCAAGTTTCTTCCACAGCTCTGTCTCATCTTCATCAAGATCCACTGAACCGTCTCTTGGCATTGACCCTTCTGATCCAAGCCTGGGCAAACTACTCCCTGCAATCTCCAACTCCTTCATGGTCTCCTGGAGACCTTCAAGTTCATCCTTCAGTCTGTTGTTCTCATCCTGAAGGTCACCTTCTGTCGTCTTGAAGTCTTTAACAACTTCTTTCAGTGTAGTTTCTTTCTCCTCGAGAAGCCAGATTTTTTCCCTTAAGCTCAGACACTCCTTTTTAAGCTCTACTTCAGCAGCCCTCACACTTTCCAAGGCATGCGTCAACTCCTCTTGGGTATGGTTGTGTTTCTTGGCCTCTGTTTTTAATCTGTCATTTTCTTCTGTTGTGGACTCTGCCACAGACTTCAGCCTAGACACTTCATCCCTGAGTTTGGCATTTTTGTCTTCAAGACATTTCTCTGATGCAGTCATCTTCTCCATCATCTCCTTGAACTCACTGGCCTGTTTTTCAATGTCTTCAATGATTTCCTTCAAGTTGTGGTTTTCCTCTCTTAGAATGCTTTCTGTGGCAGCCAAGTCTTCTGCCTGGCCTTTAAGTTTTCTATTTTCCTCTTCTACTTTCCGTAGTCTATTTTCCAGTTCAATGTTTCCTGTAGGGCTTGTGACAGTGTTGTCTTCAACAGGATGTTCTTGCACCTCAAGGTCTTGCAGCTTTTCTTTAAGATCAGCATTTTCTACCTGAAGTTTACTGCTGGAGTCTGTCAGCTTGTCAATGAGCTCCTTGTATCTGTTGATATTTTCCTCTAAATCTTCTATTCTCTCCTTCTGTCCATTAACATCCTGCAAGGAAGTTTCTGACAGTTTGAGAATCTGTTCTTTAAGTTCTGTGTTCTCCCCTTTCAGCGACAGTTCTGACGTAGACAGTTCTTCCACCAAGTCTCGAAGCTCTTTATCATTGTCTTCCAGTAATGTCACTCTTTCCTTCAGCTGAGAGTTCTCCTCCTTTAAGGAGTCACCCTGGGCAGACAAGTCATCGACCTTCTCCTGGAGTTTTCTTTCACTCTCTTCCAAGTCTTGAATTCTCTCCTTAAGACTTGAAGTATCCTCCTATCAAACAAGCAGAGTCGTGTGGTAATGTAAAAAAAAAAGTGTGATCAAATGCTGTTACAATAAAATGATCTTTCCTCAATATATAAAACAGACTTACATGAGGAGTATTCTCTAGATCTTTTTTCCTGGTCTCCAATTCTGGCATCTTTTAAGAACAAAAGATGACATTCAATGAATGAATAAAAGGGAGCCAAAAAGTATTAGTCTAAGATTTAAAGCTAAACTTAGGACCAAATGATCATAAATTAAAGTGCTTTCCATATTCAAGTAAATTGATAATTCACAGAAACTGTCTTCCCTTGACTCCTTTAAATTAGCTTTTCCCATCCTGAAGATTTAGGAATGAAGTATTATAATAATTACCTTCTGTAGTATATCTGTTGACGACAGTGCCAGTGGGGACTCTGGGTCAGACTCATAACTAGCCTGATAAAAAAACAAAACAGTCAGTTCTACATAAACATTCATTCGTCTTGAAAATAAAACATCTAGTCCAAATATAACAGCTAGTGGCCATGTTTTTGACCTTCAGCCAGCTATACAATGTATTGAACATTTGCCATTAACATTGTAGTACTGCAGGCAAAAAATTGATTTCAGCTATTTTTTAATATATGTTTTTTATTACAGTTATAAGTAGGTTATTATGAGCCATTGTTTTTGCCATTTATAGATTTTACCACAAAATTGCTTGAACAATAGTTATCCATTTTCGATTGAGTACACTGCATTATAGAGCACAGCTGTAATCATGGCACTAATGGTCATTGGCACCAGCATTCATTTTAATTACATGCTATTGATTTGTACAATATATGCAAACATTGAAAATAGTCTTTTGCATGCTTGGTTTGCACTACATACATGTATTTCATCATAATTATTGGCACCGAAAATTAAGTAAATACCCTGATGTCTTCTAGCTGTTTGATGTAGGCCTTGTGTCTCTCCTCTTCCTGCTCCAAGTCAGATAGTCTCTACAGGAGCGATCAGTCAAGTTATAGATATAAGGAAATTATTCTTTGAAGTGCCAGAATTACAATAATAAGGGTTAGAGTTAACATACAGTGTAGTATGGAGAATAACACTAGATAAACACAATGCTACTGTGACAGTATTTCTGAACTGAACTGAACTTCTGTAAATCATTGATACATAATGTACACACTGCATGTCGTCCATGCTTGTCATTTTCAGCATTTAATACTCATAGCCACAAGCTAGGCATCACAACTCAACTTTTACCATGTCCTACAAGCATGCAGCAAAGAATGAAAAAGAAGGAAACAAAAGATAAACGCTGTTAAAACAGTTCCGCTAAAAGATATAATGTGGCGTATGTTTAAAAAAACCTGGCTGTGACTGTGCAGGACCTCTACTACTAGACAATAACAGTTACTGGAAATTGAGAAGAAATGAGGACCAAACTCCCCCCACCTTCTGGGCCTCCTTGAGTTTGTCCAGGTTCTGAAACAGCAGCTCGTTCTCGTAGGTGCGACCTTGGGTTGAACTCTCCAGTTTCTGCTTCAGCTCCTGCACGATTCCCTCCAGCTTGTCTGCCTGTTGCCTGGCAACGTCCTTCTCGGCCCTGGCCTTGGCCTCCATGAGTTTCAGCTGGGCGTTCTCGTCTTCTAGACCCTGGACTGCAGTAGCTGTGGCCGCCTGTGCAGACTGGACTTCAGCAATCGACTGGTCTTCCAACTCCTTTATTCTCTACAGGAAATCCATAAAAGAACCATTATCACAGAATCAATATACATTAGGCAAGATGTAATTTCCTTAGAAACATGAGGCATGAAAACTGGTCCAAGAAACCAATGCCTCCATTCTACAGTGTTATCTAATGTCTGACTTGTTAACTGTTAGACAAGTCCATTTTCCATACTGACCTGGTTAGCTGCCTGTAGGTGCTGTTGTGTTGCCCCGTGATCATCCTCACTCTGGGACATCTGTCTGGTCAGAACAGTCTGTGTACAGGAGGAATAACTAAATTACACCTCATCCAATTTCCCAATCACAATGCTGAGGAGATCTAATCAAGTATATTTAAGTACAAGTAAGTACTTTCCCTTCAAACATTCATTCATCTGGCTTTAACTCATTTTACCTACAAAACAATGCATTCATTAAAAGTACTTTTACTGGGTTCAAAATTGGTCGTGTAACGATGTCAAATATGAACAGTCATGTATTACATGTCATTCCGTCTCTGGTACACATGCAGAGTCTTACCAACTAAACACTAGAGGTACTACATTGTAAATGTAGCTACCAGGGTGTTACACATGTATACATTCGATTAGAAACCAAAGATTTTAAAAAGAACCCGTCACAAACCTTCTCCTCTGTCAATTTCTCCACTGTCTTTCCAAGGTCATCTTCTACTGATCTCCAGTGTTTCAGTTTCTAAAAAAAAGTGTAAACAAAAGTGTGAGGAAATGATTCACATGTCTTTTTCCACTTCCTCACCTATTCAGCATTATGGTCTACATTTGATCGCTTTATTTTGAAAAGAAAATGATTACAAGTACAGAGCAAATATATTGTCATGTACAAAAGACTTACAAATTTAATGGAGCTTTATAAGCATCCAACAAGGATACAATAGCATGTAATACAAGATAAACATTACTACTGAGCCTGTAACAGGCATGGTGTACCCCTCCCATGATTCATCATGCGCAGGTATGCATCACCCGGGTAACCAATGACTCATTATGATACGGATCAGCAAATACCACACAACACATTTCTGTGTACCAGCTTCATGTTCATGGAAAAATGAGGTTGTTATAAAGTAGATAGTGTGACTGACTTTATTATGGCAATACATTTTCATAGTCTTAACCTTTCTACAGTATGTTAATCTTGATAATTATAATCCATAATCAATTGATTTTAAGGCTTTATCATATTTTGTACAGTAAGAGATGTAATATATGGATCTAAATATCAAGTGGATTGTCTGCAGATGTATGTACATGTACAGTACCTTGAGTACATATCTGCCATGCATACACATAAACAGTGAGTGCCCTCCCCACTCATACCATACACCTGTATACAGTAAAACACCCAGTTTACAGGTAAAACAAGCCATGCATACCTTATCCACCAGGTCCAGTATTGTCCTAGCCTGCAGCAAAACAAGCTGTTCCTCTGAGTCTAGATCCTGAAATGTCAAAACACGAGAGAAAAACAAACAGTTGTGTTAACGTTCGCCCAGCGTGCAACCCTGAGAGACGCACGGCAAACATTTGCTGGGTTATGAATAATTAATGTTGACCGTGATCAAATATTCAGGCCGCCATATCCGGACAATGAGCAGGTATCAAAGCAATTGGTGGTTACAGAAAGGAAGGCTCCCTGTGGAACGCTGCCATTGGGGAGGACAAACTGACAGTTTAGATAGATTATCACAACATATCTCAGACTAATGTCCTATACACAGGGAAAGCAATATAATGATTCTATCAAAAATGGACATAGATGGAATGGCTAGGCAGATAGAAATAGAATTATACAATGTAGCATGACCTTATATACATGACATGTACTGAGCTTGTTTTTAGTCAAAACAGTATCATGCAGGTTGTACATTATTAATTTAATTTTGGAAGTTGACCTTTAACCTATTTACACCTGCAAAATAGTATACATTGGATTCTATAAAATGTCAATTGAATACAATGTATATTCAAAACATAGCACCCTTTTAAGCATGTTATCATGATTCAAATTGTCTGAACTTTGAAGCAACTGAAAACTGGACAGTTTGGGGATTGTCCTACCAAGGACGTCATATTTACATGTAAACAATAACATCCTTCAGGTTCTTACCATTTCTGCAGAGTGAGTTGCAAAAGCGGAAAAGTCGATTATTTTGTAAATACCACGTTGGCTGTATGTTTCAGGGATTACAAATTTGCATGACAACGGCTGGATCAATAGTGTGACTGTCTGACAGACATACTTGTCACATCTGTGGTGGTATCCAGGCAAGGGCCAGGCTAACAACGCTTACTGTCACACATCATTTTGTACTCAAATTTTACGCACAAGGAATTTAGTAATGAAATAACAGCAAGAACACCCCAATATTACCAGAAATTAATATTAGGAACAATTTTTATAGCTTCCACCAAAAAACATGATTTTTTTCATTCACTCTCCATTAATTAAATTTTTTACACTGACCCAATCTGTCTATGTCTGACTCAGTGACCTTGAGACCCCTGCTACTCATCATTGTCTGATCTAAAACTCACTTAAATTGATCACTTCCCCAATCAAAGTCTGGTCACAGATATAACAGTTAATTGGCCAGATAACGATTACCAGATATTCCATTTCAAAAGGTGAAACCTACAGCAGCTGTTACCGGCTATAACAAACTAATCAATAACTGTGGGAAAATCTTTATACAAATCGCTGGACATAATCCTTGGGAACAAGTTTCATAACATACTGTCACTATGAATTCTGAGGTGAATTGAAGGTTTCATACAATGGTTTTAATTGATGAATATAAAAACACACACATAAAAACATTTCCTTTATCAGAATGAGATTCTGATGTTAAATACCTTACAATAGAGCACCATGCTTTGAAATTTTAAAATTGGCAATTGTCTATGATACAGAACTTTTAACTGAATTGTGTCTGACTGAGACTCACCTCTTTCTGAGTGACATCTTCTAATTTTCTCTTCATCTCAAATACATTGATGTCCTGCAAAGTTCAACAAAAAAAGGCAACAAATTGTTTGTTGTAGCCTTCACAATGTGAATAAATTTGGTGAAGACAGTGGACAAAGTAGAACATTCATACATTGTATAACTTCTAAATGTATCTAATAAACACCGTTGATGCACACAACATTGTAATGAAAATCATAATATTTTGATCCTAAGAGTAATTATCAACACAATCATGTACCTGCAAGCCCTCATCATTGCACAACCTCTGTATGGCACTGTAGTCATCATCACTGTTAGCAAACTGGCGCTGTGAAAGAACATGAAAAATGGTGTTAAACAAAACTTGGTGATGGCTACTTCTTTCTTCCTATCTAATAATAATGTACAAGAGCCAATTTAGCAAAGATCTCGAGAACACTTGTGCAGCAGGTTTACATGTAATGAACAACAAAGAGAAGCAGATCTTGGTGCAACAAAATTGATAAAAAGTGCAGATGAGATAGCAATATTGAGAGTTGTGTGCTAACATAATACACATCAAAACGTGCCATCGGTGCATCTATCTGTCAGTGAATATTCAGCTGCTACAGTTTAGACAATTATACCTTGGCACCATCTACTGAAGAAGTCTTCTCTCCCAAAACAACGTCCTTAGGCTCCTGGGGTTAGAGTTTCATTTTTACAAGTTAGAAGCACCACCACACCACAGTAGAAAGTATGTCATACAGTGAGGGAAATTATTGAATTATATATAATGTAAGTAGTTACTACATCAAAAACAGAAAGGTTATATTACATGTATACGTATACTATTGAAGTATTGACCAAGAACAAATCATGCACTTGCAAAAATAAATGTTAAAATCAATAAAAAGAATAATCACCATCTAATTCAAAATGTGAGTCCTGGAGTTTATGTTGGTTAAAGGGGGGTTACTAGGCATTTGGAATATATGGTTACCTTCAACTTAAAGTGAGGGAGAGTGTTGTATTAAGAAAAGAGCCTGACACTGCTGGGAAGATGACCCCTGAGGAGACAGTACCTTGAGGAGTGGTGAGGAGCGCTCCTTCTCCTCCAGCTCCAGGATACGGAACTCCAGCAGCTCCATCTGCTCCTCTGTGTCTGTCACCTGATGCTGCAGCTGTTTCTCAACACCTGAAGGATGATGTTCATCGTAAACTTACAATCATTGTTTTAATGGGCCTATTGACCGGCTAAATTGAACACAATTTCCAACACGTAAATTTTGAAATTCCCTTGCAGATTTATTTTGGAATGGATACCCGACATAAAAGCTTTCCACCCACCTTCTAACTGCTGTATCCTGTCCTGTAGCTGCCTGTTCTCCAGGTTGAGTCTCTCCTTCTCCTCCACCCACCCTGTATCCTGCCCCTGGGCGCTCAGTGCTCGCTGCAGGTCCTCTATCTTAGCCTGGGCCAACAGCAAGTCATTCTGCAGCTGGACACGCATCTGCATGGTTGCCATGGAATGGGAGGAAAAGGGAATTTTTGTAGACAGGCAAGTATATCAGGTGTGCAAAGGCTTAGGTATGCAATGCCCCCTAGCAGTAGGATGTAGTACTGCATGCATTGGCTCCAGGTGACAACACCAGGCCTGAAAATAGGAGAGCCTTAGGAGAGCCTACCTGCTGGACAATAACACATCACAGCTCCCTACTGGCTCATGTTTTAAGAATTAACCCATTTACAAGAATAGAACAAGCATATATTATGTAAATTTGAAATTATTACACCTATTCATTACCTTTTATACTGTTTTTTGATACAACAGAATATCAGATCTGATCTTTCTCTTACAAGAGACATAAAGGTTAATGATGGAGCTAGACTTAATTGGCAGTCTTACCTTCCCCTCCCTCTCCACATCAGTGGTAGCTGCCAGGTGCTCCTGCAGCAGCTGGAATGCCCTTTGCAGCTGCAGGTGCTCCTGATTCAGCTGCTGCATGGATGCCTCCAGCTTGTCTTTTTCAGGCTAGACAAGGGAGGAGGGACAAAATAAACACTGTAAGTAGTTGTGGAGACAAACATATGAGGACATTAAGTTTTGTCAATTCAATATTCCTGCCATCTATTGAAGTTCACCTTTGGTACATCGTGTTACATGTAGAAGTATTAGTTTTAATCCTTCCAAACACCTGCACACCTCACCAATTAAACCATAATTGATTATAACAATAACCCCTGCTTAATGCACCTTCCTTGACACCAATGCATAATATGTAGTTAGCAAATCTGTTTTTTCATTGTGACTTACTGTATCTGAACCAAAGACTGAACTCTGCAAAGATAACAGTGAAACAAAGGTTATGGTGCTGTGCTAGACATGTTTAAAAGGTGAACTTAAGTGCAATGTCCATTTCAGGTCCCCTCAACAATTGGCATCTTAAAGTTTATACCGTACAGTAACTGTAGCTTGTTTAACCATCCTTCAGTGCAACACACCGACTACGACAGTCACAACACCTGTATACACCTGAGACCAGTGTCAGCACCTGGCCTCCTGTGATAAAGTTTAGTTTGTGGGACTTGCAGAGTCTCCCCTGGTGTTTGGGGAAACGCAGGGACCTCCTATGTACATGTGGTCTCTTCTGGACAGCCATGCATTAAGCAACATATAAGAACACTTACAGACATCTCAACACGTGTCATGTACATGTACATGTAGAACAACATAATTGGCATTTACAAATTTTTTCCCTGAGACAATTTTACATGGAAGTGAACTGAATACCCCAATATCTAAATTCATTTTGGACTATTGGTATAGTCTATTAGATTTTGCTTAATTTTACCTGTACTTCTTGGTTATCAAATTTTTCGCTAAGGCTTACAAAATACATACTAATACGACTTATCATTATGTATCGAACATTTTTACTTTTCTTTTGATATTTTTCTTTAATTTCAAAAAACAAATCTGTGTTGGTGCACTGTTCTTACATCTTCGGAGAAAGAGATGTCCAGTTCGGAGTTTGTGTCGACAGAGAAGGAGGACTCTGAATCCCAGGACACACTGGCCTCCTCATCATAACCAAAATACGTCTCCACAACACCACGGGACTGGGAATGAAAAGGTGAGGACATTGTAGAGCTTACAGTATTTGTAAAAGTAACTTAATTGTTACCACTGTACTGAAATTGAAAATTCAAACATAACAATAAAAAAAATTATGACTCTCAAGCTTGACGAACAAGTTCTCACAAAATATATCATCTCAGACTGTTGGTTACCTTTGCTCCTTTCTTCCTGGGGCTGGGGAGTTTGGACTTCTTTTTCCTCAGTGAAACCAACTCTCTCCTCTTCTCACTATCCTGTTAGGATCACACATGTAAGAGTATTAATACACACTTCAACAGACTAATAATAACATTTTTCATCTCAGTCATCATAAATGTCCTTCCTTTGACTTATATTATGAATATAACTGGAATTTTTGTTTTGCTTTGTGACAGGAATGTTTCTTGACCTTGAATCACAGCAGTTACTTCATTGTACTTACATGCATGTAACTGGGTGCCTTTTGCTTGTTATCTTATTTGCAATGGCATGCCTGTTAATTTTGTTTGTTTATTTTTTGTTTGTAAACTTACAGCTATGTGTCTCTTGAGGTCAGTGATGGTGCTCTTCAGCTGCTCCAGGTCATCCGTGGGCAGACTGGACTGTGAGTTGGACCGACTGCGGGCAGCTGTCTCCCTCCGTAACCGTGTGTCCACCAGGTCCAACTGCTCTCTCTGTAGGGGCAGAAAGGTTGGGGCTGACTGTTATGAGATGTAGAAAGTAGAAGAGACTAAGTTGATAAATTCTAACCTTCTTATGATAAAAATAATAAAATGGTTTATAAGTCAAACATTACCTGTGCAATCGCAGCCTTTTATAGCTGAATTAATGCAGAGTTTACAATTGGTTTACAATCACAATCAATAATCACAAACAATCACATAATACACATAAAACATATTTGCTCCACTTTCTTTTGTGGAGCTGTCGCAAGGGTCGCAAGAGTCTTATGACTAACAGTCTTTGACTAAGAAATGAAAAAATAACTACAGAGAAGCCTGAAAGGTTAAAAGTCGTGATATCTATGTCAGGGACTTTCACTGACCAGTCTGCGGTTTTCCTCGTCTTTTCTCTTGACCGTACCGGTCAGCTCGTCCAACTTCCTCTCCAGACGCTGGTTCTTATCAATCAGTGGGCGCACCTGACTCTCCAGATCCTTCACCTGTTTCGCCTGTAGAAAAGTAATGAGGATGTCATGTCTACTGACCAGATACAGAGCTAGGCAAGTTAAAGCTACAATATTGAATGTGTATTGAATCAGTTCTATATGCATGTATTGCCAAGGAGCATATTAGCATATAATTTTCCAGTACAGCATCTCAGATTCACAAGAACATAGCACAGCGCAGGGTTATATATAGGCACAGCTCCTACAATCTGAAGACAAGGTACCAGTTTTGGAGACAAGAACTCCATTCATTCCACCACTTTGGTTTACGGCCAAAACAACCAGGTCGCGGTGGTCAGTAATTAGATGGTATACTGTATCCTGATTGGACTAAACAGGCTTGCCTTAAGTAGTTTATTTAATGCTGTCTAAGTCATTTACTTGGTATCAAATTAACTCACAGACTCGGTATCTTTGTCACAATCAAAACTTTTTTCTCACAGTTATGAAAGTCTGAAGATTTTTGGGCCCTACAAGGCAATTGAACCATTCAGTGACAGTCTTGTCATGTAAGTGTTTTTGTAGTTTCCAGTTTCAATACTTTAGGAATGTTAATAATCGCTGACTCACCATAGTAGTCTTGTCACCTTCCAATTTCCAAATCTTTCTCATCTGATCTTTCTCCTCTACAGATCCCTGAAACATAACACAGGACAAATCTGAATTAGAAATGAAATTTATCATTTGCACCGGAAGGTGGATTATGACAATGGCTTTGAAAAAAACTAAAAGCATTAGAATTTTCTAACACTTCAATGTGGGTCAGTCAGGAAAATCATACCCAGTACAAACAGGTCAATTCCATATGCCATATATAATTACAAAATATTATGCCTATAACAGAATAAAAGCCTGACAGTGTGTTCTTCTTTCTTTAAAGTTATAAGATACATTCATTTTTTGTACACATCTATAAAATTTATTGTCACAATATGTGAACAAAAAACACTAGAGTAGACTAAACTATTTGCAAAGTCATCAAAGGTATTCTAAAGAAAACAGGATCAAAGCACAACTTACATATCTGATCGGTCTCCGATATCCTTGGTAAGACTAGGGATGTTTCAGTAACTCATTTAGTATCCTGATTTTTCTATACTGGGTAAACTTAACTAAACATAAGATATTTCCTTACACATACTTCAGTCTGTTGTATATGAGAAGAGTGAACAGAAAATATCTACCAGCACTTAGTGCTGTCTGTGATACTTGTTTGTCCTGTTTTGAAGTAGTGGTACAATGGGCTTTTGAAAAGTTTACATCATAATTTATAATACACCTGCCCTGCTTGCTTAACTTTATTCATATCCTCAGTCAAACAGTCTAAATGATCTGAAAGTCATAAGGAAAACTACTTGGTTGTACAAACTTCTAGCATCCATACTAACTTATTTTTATCCTGCAGAAATTTAATTATAGAAACATCATGATGAATGAAATCCATAGAATAACAATCCCTCTGCATTTGTGGGGACAGAAGAAACGGCTTTTAAGCATAATGCTATTAACCCATGATGGTAGTGTTATCATAATATTATTTAGTTGTTCACCAGTCAGTGTGACAATGACTGCTTTCATTTGTCATCCATCTGTAGTCGCACATGTCCTCATCTATGTTAGTTACACATTCACGATCAATATCACCCTGAATGACCTGACCAGACTGACCTCCACAGACCCCGCCCTCCTCCTGGGCGTGGTCCTGTCAGGTGAGGTGTTACCCAGCTGCAGCTGTCTCTCCATCTCCTCCCTCTCTACCCGCAGGTGCTCCGCCTGCCCTGCCTGGCTGCCCAGGTCCTTCTCCAGCTGTTCTATCACATGTTCTCTGCTCTTCAACTCATTCATCTGGAGAAACAAACACAAAACAGTACAGATTAGTGATGTGTTGTTACTAATCTGTACCATAGATGATGGCACTTGTATATGATTATAACATTTGTAACAACATTCTAAGTATCACCTCAAGTTGGGAGGTTGTACATGTACATGTATTTACTCATGTTGGTTAGTGTTAGTGGAATAACTTTAAAAAAAAGCTATCATCATATTCTTGATTTGAAAGTTTTTATATCCAACCCTAGAGACAAGTGGTTTTGGACACAATCTGAACTTAGATGCTCTGTAAGTAATGTCTACTAATAAAAAAAATCTTATTGATAAAACAAAAACTCTAGAACTATCATCGCATGATATATATACAGTAACTGTAGACGTATATACATGAAAAAGTGAGAAGACCCAAGAGTATGAAAAAAGGTCACTGTGGTACTTGCCATACCTGTGCACACACATATGTACACACCTGTACTATACTTGTATAGACCTGTATGTACACACCTGTACCTGACAGGGATAACCCTACAGGACAACAAATTTGCAAATCACTACAGCTCTGAGGCATGGGTCAGGGAACAATAGGAAAACTGAAAGGAGTTTGCTACAAAAGCATCGCTGAACGGCTGGAAAAATAACTTCACAGGTTAAGGAAAACAGGCTTATTTATCTTTCCTGATTGGTGTGGTAGCATGTTACACGCTTACATGTAAACAACATCTACATTTGCCAAAAAGTTACTGCTTTGTGAACACTGTTTTTCACTGTTAGATACATGTAAGATCAAACAATAAGAAATCATTTGCTACAGAACTTGGCGTTAAGAAAGTGGGAAGTGAGTTCCCCATCTTGTGACCCGTATTTGCACAGTTTTACAGAAAAGGCCACTCACAATACTCACAGAACACCTTATCTCATTTCATTGTTATGCTGTGAAAGCCTAGAGTAGCCTGGGTGTTGGGTACACACTGCTCTGTTTGACCTTGCTAGACTTCTGTGTTTAAATCTGTATTTAAACTGCTGCTGCCTACATTTCACTCACCATATCAATCTGTAGGGGTGAGCTTTCACCTGTTGGGGACAGGTGAGGCGTGTTAACACGCTTGACAACACAGAAATGGCCGTGTACTCGCTAGGGTTTCAGTAGCAAGTCAGATTATGTTACGTGCAAGAATGGGTTCAGAGCATCAGCTGTCAAACATTTGGGGCATTTTTCATGGTGTTTGCCTAATTAGCAATGGATAACTGAGGTACAACGTTTCATACCTATTTTTAGAGCCAATAGTAGACATCTAAGACTGCAACTGTGTTAAGTCATAAATTTTTTCACCACTGTCAGTTGCCCTCATTTAAGAATACACACTCTCTCTTACCTGTACATGTATTTACTCCACAATGAAGAACCTTTCTGAGTGAATTACTGGTTATTACATACAGGAGTCACTTTTCCCAGTCGACAGCATGTTATCTGAGCATATTAGGTCAGTCAACAGCACTCGACTCTGCGAGCCTGTTGTTCCTCGGCTCTCAGTAAAGACCACTTAGCTACAGGCCATGTTGTTATTATCCCCTCAAGCCTGCGCTGCTATACAGACCTCACACACCACCGTCTACAGGTGTCAGGTGTTCTGTGGACTCAGCACAATCCAGACTTTTAACTTAAAACCACTTTGATCTTCACAAGTTGTTGTAATCTGGTTTTGTTGGCGTACCTCGGAAGGAAGTGGGCGTTAGTCGTTTTCACTACAGGACCACAGATTAAAGCTAAGCAGGCAGGCAAGGAAAACTTTGCATTAGCAACAAGTGCCTATAGTACTTGGCTCTGAAGATTATTTCCAGTGAATGTTATTTTTAACTAAAAAAGTATATAGCTATTTAGAAATTATGGATTATTGCCATACAGGCAAACCACTTCAAACAGTTACATGTAGTTCCAATCTCAGCCCAGTACTGTACTGTAAAACTGAAACAAAAAGGCCAACAATTAGACTTAGACTTTATACATGTCATTGAAGCACCTCAGACATACTTTTATATATCCTGGAAACATCCATTTTTGTCAATGGCATAGTATACAGAGAATACAATCTGATGGCAGTGGCTTATAGAAGCACCAATAGTATAAAACATTCTATGACATGCCGTGTATAATTACTCAATCATTGTGTAGTGCCCTTTCAAATCATAAAACAATAATAAATATACCTTGAACCCCCATATGCTTGTGTCTGAGTCACATTGATGTAGAACACAGCTGACAGCCTCGTGACAGCTTGCCCGTGTACTTACAACAAAGGTCTATTCAAACACAATAAGGCAACGTGTCATCCTACAGATTGTACTGAACATACTTTAGCCTTGGACCCATTCCAACTAACTCAACACACACATCACTTTGTTTATAACAGTCATGACATCTTATATTCTATACTTTGGAGAGGATCTAGACAATTGGTATGCCGCTGTTGAGAAAACAAAGAGAAACAATTTAGATATGAATAAATCTCTGCAGTTATCAGTTGAGAGTAACATCTGTAACACAAAAGCAGGAACCCACATTGGAGACTATCAATTATGCATGAGACCAGCATGCAATTAGAGGAGAATAGGTCCTGGCCTCCATAAATCTGACTTTATTACTCAGGAAAACACAGGGGTTAGACAGGCAGGACAGGAACGGTGTTGTAACATGCAAGTCTGAACACAGGTGAACTGTTTGTAATGCTACACTTATTTGGCTTTTGTCAATGCATAGGTCACAAGTAATGACAACCAGGTCACTTCAAACATGAGGCAGAACAACAATTTTTTCAAACTTATTTTGAGTCCTCCAGGACAAAAACTATTTACGAGAGTAAGAATCTAGTATATGCAAATAATTACTTGCTGGGTCAGGAAGAAAATTGTTTCCAATTCAGGCTGCCTTTTGAAGCCACTGACTGTTGCCAAAAAATTACTATGTAATTATAGGTACTAAAGGTGTTTACAACTTACAATTTATGCAGACTCAAGTCGAAGCTATTATGTAATACAATGTTGTGTATTGTATTATAAAGCATCATGGGTCAAACTACTACAGTAATCAATGCCATTGTTTCTAACCTGTTGCATTTTGATTTAACCTACCAACAAACTACATACTACAATGTACTAGGTTTATAAACAACAGTATGACAAACTTTCAAGCTGCTTCAACAACAGTATGTGACTGTGTAAGAACTTACCAGAAATGACTATATATGGCATATCTTTCAATCTGCATCCAAAGTGTCCACATACTAGTAGTCTACATGACTTAATTCCATTAATATGACAAGGTCTAACTGTTTGAAAGTACTGGGACTCGGACTTTAACCCAGCACAGGTGACTGTGACAGGCAGATAAACAGGTGGGAGAGACAAGGGTTCAGAGGTCAGTGCCAACTTTAGCATTAGAATTTCGAATGTAGGTCAGCATTCTTTAAAACAGGAACCTTCTGTAAAATATTGACAATACTGTAATTATGATAATAGATTGAAACATTCTTTGTCCCCTAAACTTTTGTTCCTAAGCTATAGATAATTTCATACTACTCTGCCTTGTACTGAACAAACCCACTCCACAAGAATAACAGCTGTCCCCTGCAGGGCTTGTTTATAATCACCATGACAACAAGCAATTTTCCGGCTGGGTACACGATGTAATGAATTCCCTACCACTAGTACTGGCTATGTATACAGTAACTGTGTCTCCTTTTAGCATTACAAAGTTTCAGTTCAAACCAACTTCACATACAAAAGAATTTAATTCTACTCATAGTGGCCCAGTGTGCTGTAATTCTCTATACAGGGTTTACTGTCCTTGTCACAGTGGATGCATTGTGCCCAAGTTTCTGTTGACCTAGAAACTTTTTGAATTCACACATTACAATGTTGGCAACACAGTACTTCTCAGTAATCTCTCAACAAAGTAGGGCATCTTAACAGGCAGCGTCTGTGACTTTAAGTCCAAGTCTCATACACTATAATGCCATAATTCAACCCCCCTGGATCTGTTAGGGGATTAGGACGTAATACCACTTTGATAACTTAATGGTTCTTAAGTTGTACCTTTAATATTCAAACCTGTCCAACCAGACAGGCTTAAGGGACCTTCTCAGAATAGAAGAGGATTCGAACAGTTAAAGATATGTGACAATTGTCTTGTTGTCCAAAATGTATAGTATATGATGTAGGCTGTTCACAGACCAAGGTGATTATATTGCAAGACTGGCAGACTTTTCTAGTAGTTGAACAAACAGTAAACAGGCCATAAGCCTGCTGGCAGCAATAAGTCCAGTTGGTCAATTAGATATTGTTACAGTAGTGAAATCTACATCATTATGGTAATCTTACTCAGATAACCTTACCAAGCCAAGGTATTTCATGTAAATGTAAACACACAATCGTGCCAAGAGTATCAAATAACTACTGATTTCAATCACAGTCAAAAACAGTGAAGATGTAATGTAGTTTACCTGCACCAGCCTACCTCGAACATCTAAAAATGGTTTGAAACCCTTTCCACCAACTAACTATGCTCCTGTAACAGCTTCCTCCTCTTTCTTCTCTGATCCCCCTCTTTACTCGGGAAACAGGGCCTCTTTCACAAGAATGGCAGCCTGACAAAGCTAGGATAATGGAATAGAATACACTGAACACAACAACACCATCACCTTATTATCTATTTGCGGCTTCTATCTAGGGCATCGGAATGTGCTCGAGCCTGAGCATCCCTCTCCAGGTGTTTATTTTCTCTGGATACGGTACATTTACCTGTAATGAAGAGGCTTTTTTTCAGAAAAATATCACTTTTATTTTGGGTGAAGGGTCATTTGTTTGTAGACTAACCTTACTGACCCTCCTGTATCACAACAAATCACAGGTGTCTGCAACAGGTGAAAGGTCAAAGGTTGTAACGGATAAATCAGAGCCATTCCATTAACGTGTACAAACATTATGAGATTTACTGCCATCATTTACCTAGTTCTAAATTTAGCACACATAAAACCTTGTTCAAAACAGATGTCACTGAGTATGAATCGAACCCACAATTTTGAATGAGACCAAGGTACATGTACCTGTAAATGTAGGGCACATTCTTGTACATGACAATATAGTGTTTCATGTACTACAAAACTTCAGGACAGAATGACACTCAGCTTTTTCTTGGCTTAATAGGAATTCTATACCTTAGGATAAATTTGATTTATAGTGAAAGACAGTATTATAAACATTTTACTCCTTTTTACATCTACCTTTGATTGCATACCCCTGGATAAAAACAACATGGGGTCTCTCACTACAAATGGGATTTGCAATTACCAGTATTCAACATTCAGGTCTTTTACACGTAGCAAGCCAAGCGTGATGGTCCCTTCACTACCTTTACATGCAAAGACTGCCCTAATGATTTGAGCAAGCACTGACCTTACAGTATTACTCCAGTATGTGTTTACCCGCCATGATTTCCTCCACTGTCCCCTAAGTAAGACATGGATAATTCTGTCTGTCTGAGCTCAGGGCTATTTACAATGCCTGGCATAGCCTTACAGCAGGTTGCTATGGCAACCATAACCCTATCATTACCAGGCTAATTACCATGATGATGCACCTGACTTCAGCCTCAGGCAGCTTCTCACAGTCATTAGTAACCATGGTAACATAACCACAGGCATGCAGGACTGATGGATGTCTCAACTAAAACCAGCTTCTGACTAGGAGATCATCGAAAGTATTAAGTGGTTTGAGAAGCAGGTCAGAGCATTTTTGGAATTCTGTAATAGTAACTGTAGTTCAGTCTTGTTACCCTATTACCCTAAGGCTACAGCGGAGAAAGTACTAGTAAGCAGTCTAGGTCGTACAATGACACACCTAAATATCACTGAAAATTGGAAATTAAATGATCTGCACAGTGGACTACTGCTTGGGTTTAAAGGTTTAATGGTGGACGCCGCAGTTCACTGTGCGGATCATGTCACTTTGGAACTGCCACAATTCTGAAAACAAGTTTTTATATAAAAAGGCTGACATCATCCCTGATTGAACTGATGGCAATTCTTTGACAGATGTTGAGCTAGGAAGTGACTTGTTGGGTCGTGGCTGATTGTGAATCTGAGTTTTGAAGAGGTTAGTGATTGAACATGTAGATGAGCATAAATTTAAGTCTATCCATTCCAAACTCACCAGTCTGCGGACTTGTTGGTCCGCCTCCTTCCTGAGCTTGGCTGCCTGCTGCTGCAGCTGGTCATGAGCCTGCCTGAGTTCTGCAGCCTTCTGTCTGTCTGCTGCAGTCACTGAGCTCAACTCCCCCTCCAGCTTCTTCTTACCTTCCTTTAGGGAGCTGATCTCCTGTTGTAACCGAGACTTCTCTGCCTCAAAACTGCTGTGCAACCTGCAAAAGTGTAAAAGTTATTTTGTTCTAATTTTCAATTTGATGCATTGTGATGTCCGGAGCATAGAAATTGAGTAAAGGACATTTATGCTAAACTGACAAAAACCTATGGACTGAATAATACAATGAAAGATCTTCAATCTATTCTTTTTCTGTGCTGTTCAGGTAGATTACAAAATAAGACTCACCTGTCAGTATTTGTTTCCCCCTTCTGAGCGGCATTCAGACGAGTCTGCAGCTCTAATTTCTCCTTGTTAAACATAACCTGCATCTGTTTCATCTCATTTTCCTTCTGTCTTAACAACTTCTGCACCTCTGCATTGTGCTCCTTGGTTAAAGAATCCTGTAGTTTGGCGAGTTCTTGCTCTTTCTCCAGCTGGAGCTGGTTTCTCACGGCTTCTACCTTCATGGACACATTCTGTTGTTCCTTGTCCTGGAGTTGTTTTATCTTTGCGAACTGGTCGCGGTGCATGTGTCTTATGACACCACGTTCTCGTTCCAGGTCTGCCTTTAAGCTGGTGTTCTCTATCTGTAGGATGTCCACAGAGTTGCGGAGGGAGGCAATGGTCATCTCCGTGGGTGACGGGAGGCTGCTGCGGCTGAAGGCCATGATTGGGTCGCTGGCTGGACGGAGTTTTGTAGACGCTTGCAAAAATACACTATTTTATCTGTGGACAAAACGACATTCTGTGTCAACTACCGATAGCTTGTCTCACATTAGCCTACTAACAATAAAAATAGTGATTATTACAATTTTATAGCTTAATTATATAATGATGAATAACAGCATGGGAGATAAATGACACACTTATATTATTTTATAACATCTTACATATATATAAGCGTTATACAACAATAACAACATCAAAGCTATCAGACCTTCCCTTTTATATACATTTTACATACCAGAAAAACGACCCATGGGAATATTGCAATAATGATATCAACATGATCTCATATGTAGTATTCCCTAGAATATTTGGATCTTTTGTTTCGTGTCAAACAAAGGGCAATTTTACCAACCAAATACATTATATACCAGTACTCTGCACTATAAATTGCAATACTTTTTTTTTCAAATGACATCATAGTCAAATCTGATAGGAGACAAATTAGACCCATAATCACCACTTATTCACTCCTAATTGAACCATATTGAAATTTTTTAATTTAAAGAACGTCCAATTTTGACAACTAAATCTACTTCGGGACAATTTCCTGCGAATTGCTGCTAGACCAACATTATATTGTCTGCTGCCTATTGTACAGGAGTGTCCCAAGTGGATCCATTCTTTACATATCAATTGTCTGCCCCAATCAACTTTTACTGCTTGTTGTACAAGTGTTGACAAGCCAACTAATTGATGGCCACTCTAGACAATGTGTATGTAGGAAAATTTTACGTCTTTTTTTCTTATTTTTTTTTCAAAGCTCTTAGGGACACTTCACACTGAAGCCAATGCAGCTGGCATAAGAAATAGTCTTGGGCAAAAGGTCAAGGACATATAAAATACCTTGCAGAGCTCTGATGTGCTGACTTTTGCCAAGGAGATTGAAACGGCTTCCTTGACAACAAACCCTACAATCTAAATGGTAATGCCTATTCAAAACATGTGCTAGCATGTCTCCCCTTGATTGGTTTTCTTTTTGACAAATGAAACAATTTCCCTGTTGTAATAAGGTGTTACCCCGCTATCCTATCTGTTTCTCCGTTACGCCCCAGGGTATGAAGATAATATCAGGTGAACAGGTGAATAAACTGTATCGTAATGATTTCGTCAAATTTTAGCATTTAGGTTTCTTGTTTATAATGATAAATTATAGAAAATACCTAAGTAACGAATGTACTAGTAGGTATAAGATACTACTTGGGTAGCTTTTGGTGTAACATTTTTGCAGAGATAGCGATCATCTCTCTTCAGTGCCCCCCTCCCCCTTTCAAAGATTTGACAGACGACGCTGCGTTGTTGTTGTAACCTGCAGTTTATAAACGTTCACGTGCTAACTACTAGTACAACATTCGTGTCGCTTGGATAACTGTAACGCTATTCACAACTTCATAACTTTAAAATAACGTACAAATCTTTTTGGGAAAACGGTTACGTGTTTGTCAATATCGTACGAAGATACTGTACACAAACAACAGATCATCGGTCAGTGTGGAACTTGAAGACAACCACACGCGGCTCCCAGGCTCAAATCCCCCGCCACTGGGCTAGGACCCACCCCGCCCTCTACAAACACACAAACAGCGCCATGAGAACAATATCTACGCACCTTGTAAGGTTTTTCATGTCTTATGTCTCGGCAAGGCTGGTAGCGGCAAGATTTGGTTCCATACTGGACCGACAGGAGGTCCCAAACCTTCCCTCAAATCTCCCCCGTAAAGTTTACATTCCTGACGCGTCACCCCGGAGGTACGGTAATTTAACCCTCCTCCGCCTACGCGAAATAGTGCCCCTCAGCAATGGGGCATCCTTCTCGGTTTTCAACAGGAAACGTGGACAATACAGTTCATTTGCAACCCAAATTCAGTACCGATGTTGTATTTCCAGCGTCTATTTTGAACATGCTGAAATGTGTATTAACTTACTATTAAAACTTCACTGACAGGATAACACCTGTTTGCGAGGCGGAGTGGTACGGGGCCACGCCCACAGTCACCTGGGACACCTTTACCAAAGGGCAGGTGTACGCCAGGTATGCGTCAACTCGCACGCGTGTCTCAAGGTCGTCACGGGTCACGGTGCAAGGCGTCCTTATCGTATCAACACGTTTATTTATTTTCACGACCAATTTGACTAGCGTGCACGTTTTGTTGAAGGCATGACAGATGACCTATACATGTGTAGCATTTTCAGACGTTCGTTTAACACAAGGACATTATACAGTATAATGTCATTGGTTAACATAACGCAAGTACCATGAAATGTTTTGCTCTCTGTCTTTCAAGAAATCAGTACTCTCATTGCATTAATGTCTTCACGATCATTACTTATATCTGGCGTTATACTCCAGACGTTTTACATCTCGTTAATTCTATGGATGCAATTTGTCATTACATCTATTCCCAAAATCAAAGCAATTAAAATTGCGGCGTCTAGCGAATATTTCATGAGCCGCACCGTACAGCTAAATGAGATATAGTACATTAATTTTGTACATTAATTACTGTACAACACCACCAGTTGTAGAAAGAAGCCTCCCGTTCATGCATCTAGAATCCCTAATAGGCTATGACGCATAAATAGTTATAAAAGTAGTCTAGCAGGACTGATCTTTTCATTTACCAGAGAATCTTAGATGTTCGTCGGTCTATCAGTGTTGTGCCTTATTAATACTTGTCATTTTTGGCGTCAATGGAAGCAGAGTGCAATGCACGAGCGCCCCCTAGCGGAGAAATTATTTGTAACTACATGTACATGTACATACATGTGCACCTGTCAACACGAAGCAAAAGCTGGTATTCATGACGAAAGAAATACGCACCAAAGTGCACACGTTGACTGTCAAATCGAGGAAAACCACATGTAACTTAACGGGAGGGAAAGAAGCAAGCAATACAGAGATATTATAAGGGGTCCAAAGGCCTAGGCGGATGAGGGACTTTGACAGAAAACGAAAGATTCGCCGCATTCATGAGTAGTTGCTGGCGGGTGAGCAGATGGTTACTGTATGAAAGAAGGGAGGAGGAGACTGCATTAATAAAGAAAACCATGTGCCCACGAAGATTTGAGGATTTCGCAATACTTCTTATTTCTGTAGCTAACGCTACTTGTAATCTCAACTCAAATGTTTCCGCTTTTGGGACGTCTCCCACGTGCTGCTTTCTTTAATGGGAATCTGTTGCGTTCATGCGCACGAAATATTTGGTCGAAGTTTTTCATCTTTATTCCCTTATTATTTGCATGTGGTGTGTACGAGAATGGAGCCAGTCAAGGGAGGGGTTCCTCCGCAGGAGTAACAACACACTGGATGTAGTGTATACGTAGTACAGTAGTGTAGTGTACTGTAGTGTACTGTAGTGTGTAATGTATGTAGTGCACGCGGTGTACATGTCTCAATTGATTCATTAATATAAGTAACACACTTAAGAAAGGGGTTGTGGATCTAAAACACTGGGATGCAGGACGCTTGGTTTTCTGCTGGCTGATTCTGGTATATACCGGTAGTCTGACAATGACGACATTTCTACGTGCGCGCTCACAGGTCCTGTGGTTGCCATGGAGAGTTGAAAGGCCAGACTGGGTATCAGGTGTTCTCCGATAATCAAACAGAGCAGGGCGCTGTGATGTGCCTGTGGAACCTCCTGGAGCGGAAATTACCATCGCCTTTCTCAAGGACCTTTGTGATCTGATCTGAGGCCTATCTATGGGCAATCAGTGTGTGTCGTACTTTTTTTATCTGTAAGTGTATATCAGAGGTGAATCGTAGCCAATATCAGTGTGGATTGGGAACTCACACGAACGGAGTAGAGCAGTATTTTGTACTCACACCCCCAACGCACACACATTTTCTATTTACATATACATGCATGATAAGAATGCATGAAAATACAAACATACATTAATGTCAACGACGTCTACATAATTTTATGTTTCCAATTTCTGAGAATCAATATCAAAGTCTGGCAGTCCTGGATGTATGAAAAGGAAGATACAGGAAGATAAATAAACTAATTGTTACAGAGACGGAAAGTTTATTTTTGGGTGGAAAACTCCCATCAGCTGCCTTTCAAACCACGTCTACTCACTAAATACAATTATGTGACCTCTATCAACATGATGAGGGAAGCCAAACAACATTATAACTTGCTGAGGCCCAACCCGATGTCAACACGCCGCCCAGATTTAATTGCTCCAAACTTGACGCGTGGCGCCCGAACGATCTAATTAATTCACCCATAATCACGGCCTCTACAAATATTAGATCTTTGCATGAATACGTTGTCTGTTATTTTCCGGTTGCCGGGGAATGCTAGCGGAGAATCTGAAGGTTTCGCATCATCCAGACGCCTGGTGTAGTCTTTCTCGGGTGCGATTTGTCGGTAAAAACGGAGTTGGGGCTGATGTGGTGTAAAAGTTAGGCGGTGCTGCTGATATTGAACATTCACACGGTGTTATTCTGTGCGGTGGCTCCCTGGGGAGACGTGACAGGTTGCCTGTCCCACGGGGATGTACGGAGCGCGTGTTTACCTGCCAGGCTGACGGCAGTGCGCGGGGACCGGGGTCGGCTGTACGTACCGGCCCGTCAGGGCGCTATCAACCAGGGCTCAGGCATTAGGAATAATAAAAACTATTTTCTCTACCTAATGTCGGTGTGAGAGGGATCCCGTGCTGCCATACGTCTCCGTGAAAGGGTTCAGATGAAAGGTCCTGCGACTTGAGACCACCTTGAAGCTTTGGCCCGGACTCACTGTGAGGACGCAGTCGGCTGGAGTCGGCACGGACGGACCTCGATTCGCACAGGTGAGGATATTTATTGCTCCATATCATTCAGTAGAACAGGACCAGACAGATGCATTTTTTTACTGCTTTCCTGGCCAAAAGAGGGGCTACAATGTATTGAAATGAAATGAGCGTTTCTTGTACTAGTATTCAGCTGTCGAATGTGACATTACTGAAGAACGGATTGTCTTCTAAGAGTGTTAGCACAGGATAGAGAAGTGAGGTGTGGTGTGGTGTGGTGTGGTGTGGTGTGGTGTAGTGTAGTCGTTTAAAAGCCACATGTAGGAAACATTGACCGAGCGAAAAAGGAAAGAGTTTTGGACCCGTGGACGGATCCGGTAGCTACTAGTATGTACTATATCACGAGATGCACTACTGCTGCTGCTGCCGGAAAATTCTGTGGTGTCAAGATCTGCGCTACTAGCCCTACTGTGTGCGGATGTGCCCATGGGAAGGAAAGCAAAGGTGGGAGAACCTCCAGAGGCGTAATGTGGGAGGGGGTAAGGTTATTGTCAGACTGGCGCGTGTTTTGGTTATCTAAACAGCCAGACATATCTTCAAAACAAAGGAGCATATTAAAATCTCAGCAGGTGTTCCCGTACATTGTGTGCTTGTGTACAAGGAGTATTTGTGGTCGTCGTTTCATGGCTAAATTGACTTTAACAGTCTCACCAAACTTTAGTGTACGAATCGTGACTGTCATGTGCATAAGGTTTGAAATATGGGGAAAAATTTTGATATTGACCACTGATGTCCTTGAAGCAGCCGGCTGGCGGCCTGACCGGAGCCTCGGCAGGCTATCGACCGGCGCCAGCCAGGCCTGCTCGCCGAGTGTTCGCAGACTTGTTCAACGATTTTCAGCATCGACTTTGAACCCACCGCGTTAATTAGAAAACCCAACGATGCAGATTACAGCCATGTCCCAACGGCGGCATCCAGATATCGACCAGCTTCTCGGAAAAGTTAGGTAGAACACGATTAGAAACGTCCTGGAGAATCGTAATTTTCTAATTCCCAGCTAATTATGGGCTCCCGGATGCTAATCCTCAAGGTTTAAGCTTCAATAACTTCAATGCTTTGCATGCTTATCTGACTTAATTTCTTTTCACACGGATTCTCTTGATTTCGCCTAAGCTCATTACGCCCTGAAACACTTTCTCCCTCTCTCACATTTATTGACTAACGATTGATTAACGATTATTGATTAATGATTTATTTCAGCTCTGCTCTGTCATAACACGTTGCCCCTTTTCCACCATATTATCCACCTGATACAATGTATCTAGCTTTCGAATTCATTCTCATATGATATAGGGAAAATAAATTTCCTGTGCCCTTTTGTTGACTTTGTCTTAAGTAATTTGCATTAAGTTGGCCGGAAAAGAAGCATAATACAGAAGGCTTGCAAGCTGCGGCAGAGAAGCAGGAACGTAGCTAGAATACTGAATTTTCCATTACGTGCTCCTAACACCTTAAAAATGCATTACTGAATTTCTTACACTTCTACATATTTCACTATCATTGAATGACCGGAAGCGTTTCCTATTGTATATATTGCGTCGCCTGAAATTTACATGACCTCCACTGCGCTGGTGTGAAAAGGCCGCGTTATCAGCAGGTCCCATTGATCCTGTGTACCTCCGCTCCCGGCTGTAGCCTGCCTCAGCCCGCTAACAAACACATCTATCATCGGTCCACAAGTCGGGCACGTCACATCCAACGGAGTTCTGGGAGGGGCAATTTTACATAGCAAAATGGCCATGGACAAGAACCATTGCATATTCTACCAGCTAGCTTTGAAAAGCAACGTTTGGAATATTGTCGCACACCCGTGTATTGACATTTTATGGGAAAGACAATGTGTCCATCTCACTCCTGGTTCTTTGTGAATGCCGTGGATGTATCAAACTGTTCTAACATAGACATAGTTTTCCATGCGTCGAATCGCCAGTCAGTTTCACTACATATACTAGAAAGTGTCCGTAAACC